TATTGTTCTTGACAACAGCGAAACGTGCTTTTGAACGGCCAATTATCATATTTTATACGCGATTGCATGAGGACACCGCAACATAAGTCATTGTTCACGCTGGTCACAGACACTGGCATGACGGTTATGGACGTCCTTGAACTCAATTGCCTGTATTTATGTCTTTAACAGGAGTCGTGACAACGCAAACGACTTTGGGTTACTGTCTAATGATTTGTGATCATCCTACCGCCTCGTACCACTTTAAAAATAATTACTTAAAAACGAAAATATTTGAAGGTAATATTGTACACCCTTAAAAATAGAGATTAGATCTGTTTTTACTATAAATATCCATATAGATTCTAACATCCATATTCAGAGTAGATTAACAATCAAAATTCCACTACAACTGTTAGTTACATTTACTCTTTAACTAGTCTTTATTATTTGATAAATGTTAATCCATTGAATAAAACATCAGTTGAAGTAGAATGTCTTTTCAACGAAGAAGTTCCATCAGCAGTAGAAGGAATGGAATATATCGGTATTTCAAAAAGCTTTCATCAAGATTGATGTGTTTTCTTAACATAAAATATGTTATGTGTACGTTGTTTTGTACGTGGGAGGCATATCATTTTAGCGCAATCGGGAATTTGTCAAGTTATTGTTCTGCAATAAAAAATTCTCTTGTGTTATGTAATTCCATTTATTTTTTTTTGTATTGTTTTCAGTTTACATTTCATATTAGTTATAAATTTTAGCATAAACATAAACAAAAGGCATGCGGAAAAACCTTGCGTGAAAAAATTAGATATTTAAGACATACCCGATATACATTTCATCATTTCCTTGTTTATACCGTTTGATGTACTTATATTTTGCTGTGGCCAATCTGGTAGGCGAATGTTTATTATTTTCCTATGAAGTAAATGCAATCCATTAAATCTATTGGTAATGTATTAAGTTTGTCTAATATAAACTTTAATATAGGTAAACATTTTTCTAATAAGCTTCTTAATTACAATGTATGTGGAAATAAATGCATTAAGTTTTTTTTAAACTTGGTTCGATCGATCGGCGACTGAGCTGGCAGTGTCATTATAGTGTTACCGTTTGACTTGTCAGTAATCTCATTGCGTCATAGGTTCGATTAGCGCCCATCAAGCTTGTGGGATGTTCCGGATTGAAAAAGTGACCATGGTAACTCATCCGGATTCCTACATACCATGATGATATCATACTTCGACTGTTATTTAACGACAAGTCCTCTAATCATCTTAATAATTAGGTTTTTTCTTCCCAATGTGATATAAAAACGTACACCACAGATAATTGATACTATTAGCTAGTGATGCCATAGCTTTTTTACAACGTGCAGGTATAACATTTGATATGTTAATAGTACAATTAAATTTGTTGCTCATCATCAAGTACTTTTTTAATAGTAGAGGTTTCATAACTAAGTTTTTTGTACGCTGAAATCTAAACATCTCACCATGTTTTTTTTTACTCGTGGCAACATTTTTTGATTATATAGATAAGTTTTCGTTTCCATAGACGTTGATACATGGAATATAGTTTTAAGGTACTGTATATTAATTAGATAAAGTACAATTAGATTAATCTTATAATCGTTAATTACTTGGTTATCGCATCGCTTCTTAATGTGTATGCGAGAAGTTCTATAATAGTCCAAGTTGACTTTGCTGTTTATTGCACAAACAATTTAAGTTTTTATTTCATTTTCATATCCGTTTCATCGGATACAATACATTTGAAGTAGAATACATGATGCGACATCACGTTATCGAAAATCCCGGGTTTGTCCAGATGTCGCGGGAAAACCGAGCGATTGTAACGGTGCCTGAACAAACTCCTTACAAAAGGATCCGTAAACACACTTTTTTATACAATGTCCATCACCTTGAAGCCTTTGTAGACTAGTATACTTTGTTACTATTGCCGCTTCCTGACTATCGTGTTAAATGAATGATAAATATCGACTCGTCCTTTGTGAATGCGTCAATTGAGATTGAGGTCGTTTTAAAAATAACATAAAACTAGGTATTTGTGTCGATGTATCACGTAATTATGAATGAAATTACAATTATCAATTAAAATTTAATTAATGATAAATAATTTTAACTCGAAATCTAATATAGGTCTTTCTAATCCTATAACCTCGGCGCTAATCATATTCCTTTGAACAATGAAGTGTTTATAACGTATTTGCGTTATAAATTTTTGCATAAAAGTTACAAACATGTATTCACTTTATAACACTTTTTTTTATTACTGTAAGCGATAAACTGATAAAAAATAACGTTAACCTAAATCCTCCATCTTTCAACGGTGTCTCTAACGCTACTTGCGAAAATATTAACGTAAGATAATCTGCCGCCCTTCTTTTAACTAACATAAACTTATTTTAACTTAAAAAATATGACAAGAAAGCCTCGTAATATATTCTGCTTATGCGTCACCTTTTCATCTTAAGGCATATTATGAAATTTTTACAATATATTCACATAATATGTAAAAACGTACTTAGCCCACGCTATGTGCAATAAAAAAATCGTAAGTTATTCCCAGATTTGACCAATAAGCAGGCTTTATACATAACTAGCTGTCGGTTGCGACTCCGTCCGAGTAAGAATTATTAATAATTATACATCTTGTATTTTGGTTATGTATAAAAACATCAAAAGTACTTTATTTCGTGTGCTTTAACACCTATTATGTGATTGTGTCCGTGTCTACAACGGCCTTACGATTGCATATTATCAAGTAAGACGAGGATAATGACATTTGAGCTTGGGGAAAATTTATACGGTGTTTGGTCACACACGTGTAATCCGATGAGGTTATTCGGGACGACCTTTATCAATGTTGCCAACAACGCGCCGCGAAATTTTTTATTTACTCTATTTCGTAATCAAAAACTTGTCCGGTCATATGTCTTCATATGAAAAACAACATACTTCGAAGCAGTCAAGGCGAAATGATAATATACTTCGTATTTTAACATGAAATGAGCAAGCTGTAGGAAGGAAAACACTTGGATTATTGTTATGCGGGGTCAGGATAAAGCTTGTGAAAGCGTTTGCTGAATAACAACCACCTATAGAGATTTTGCAATACGTTATAAAGTAGAACAGAAACGTGACGCACTATCAAGATTGTTGCCTCTTAAATTATACCAACAATAATAATGCTTTAATACAAATCCGTTTTGTTTAGTCGAATCCTGTTCCACCGAGTCTCCAGGTGATATAAGAATTTGTTACTTAGTTTTAGTAGAATATCAGTATATGAAAGAAACATAAATAAGTATTGTATAATAATTGTAAAACGAAAAGTAATTGTATTTGATTTCAGCAATTTTACTTTTAGTTTGTTATAACAGAAATGCTTAAATCCATTTCACCAACTGATTAATTAAAATAGAGAAAGTAAACAATCGTCATGAATGCAAAATTTTGTGAATCGCACAAAAATCTCAAACTGTAAAAGGAATGTATCTAAAATAAGTTAACTCTATTTTTACGAGTTACACTCTATATTAATTGATATCTGAAATAGTTCCATCAAGAAGTAGGCTGTGGTATCAGACATCTGCATCGTGAGAAAAGAATAGTAAACCAAAATACATTGTATCGCGTATCGTGACTTATAATAACAATGTATCAATTTTACATCTCGCTAACATCTTCATAACATTTCATATTATTCTTTATGTTTACTATTACGTAATTTATTTAAATGTTTTATTTATAAGTGTGCAAACTTCGATACGCGTCGGACCCTGAGCTGGTACGATTTATTGTTTTTTCATTAATAAACATTGACATTGATCGTCCAAGACAATACTAATGTGAATGTTATTTTCGAATCTTTTCCTCAAATTTGTTGGCATCGTCAATGAACCTTGGCGTGTTAGAAAATGACCAAGAACAATAAGCTTGACTAAGCAAGATGTATAGTATTTGGTATTAAATAAGGCCGCAGTATTTTCGGCCCACACCGGTTCCGTGGTAACGAGTGCAGTGCAACCGCCCCGGCTGTCTGGATGTGCTAAGTCCGGGTGTTGTGAAATGTGAAGGCCGTCCGCCGATGGCAGCTTTAGTCGTCACTCCCTGTGCCATTTAATTCGGACCAAACAGCTGTTACGTGGCCCGGTCCACGCAGCCTTGATTCTTTCAGTATCCGTTTTCGACACTACCAAACAATGCATACTTCGTCTCTGAGAACTGCTAGTAGCTTCCATCTGTGCCCTTGTAGGCGTATTTTAAATTAAATTTTAATAAACAGGAAGGACATTGATTTATGTTTCTCATAAGTTAAAGATTTAACTTAAAAAAATCACAGATTTGTATAATCAAATTTGTTATGCATAACTCTTAATTTTGTGGTTGTTTATTTTAAATATGCTATAAAATTGAGCGTCGATTTAGTTATTTGTTTTTGATAATATCCATCGTCAATGCAATGTTGATCACGAATCTAATCAAATTTGGACAACAGTGATCGCACGTAAATTTATGGCTTAAAAACAACATTCCGGTTCGAATTTACTTTATTTTTAGACCAAGAATCTAAGTGCACGTAAGAATACTTCATTATTTATTTTATAGTCTGTACAATCGTGTACACAAGTTTAGAAGCGGTCAGTGACCAAATTATGGACAAGTCCGTTCACCTAGTTCTATTTGAATTTCATGACTCTTACCACATTAATTTGCGAGGATTTTCTTAAATAAAGAATTGTGAATTTAATAAAGAACTGTGATCTCAGTTGTTAAACATTATTTACAAAATTTAACATGATTTATACAACTAAAATATATGTAAATAATGTGTCTATATGATCACAAAATTTATTGCGAAACGAATTATTATGTGACTCAAGTAACTGAGGGACGCTTTATCTGGTGGTACTAAGCGGCTGCCGAGGTTTTCAGGCGCGGCGTATACTTATCAATAATGCATTGTTTTTATGACATTCGTGCATCACTCACCGTAGTTTTGGTATCCATTGTTAAAAGTGCTGTCAAAATTCACGTTTTCTCGTTTTTTCTGCACAAATATTATGTCACTGAAACACTGCATTCACTCGGTCCACATGTCTGGGATGTCTGGAGTTGCCGCTCAGCTGTTTCGAGTTCCCTCTCTCGCCCTCTCCGTGTGGTCGGCGCTTCACACGCGCTCGATCCAAGCGGCAAAGCGACTAGAGTCGTACTGAGAGTGTTGCAACGATACACAACCTTTATATATAAGATTGCAGCCGCCGATCTACGGACACCTTTTTTTAGTGAACCAAGTATTTATTACATTAATTAAATTATTATTAATAAGGATATTATTTGTGTTTTGTGTCAGATGAAAAGATAACATTTCTCGGATACGGATATAACAAAGGTCTGTTACTTTTTAAATAAATTATAAAAATATATTTTTAATTTAACCTTCCATTTTACTTTTAGTTAAAATATAAAGTTTTAATTATTATTTACTTTAGAAACACTGAAATGCAACTGCAAATCGGAAATAAAAAATTGGCAGAATAAGATGAACAAAACGATAAATGAGTGACCGAAGAGGTGTCGACTGCGGTACCTACACCTATCTGGCAATGTTTGTCCGCTCACAGGAAAATGTCGGGCAATTAAAGAAGCAATCTAGAAGCAAAGTCACGTTGTGTGGCGTGCGCTGGTTACTGTGACGGGTCCTTTAACCCCCAGCAGTTGCGCAACTCTCGGCCCTCGCCCGATTATGTCCTCACATAAAGCATATGACAAACTTTTGAAAATCGGAAAACAGGTAGCATCACCTTGATTCAATACGCGACATCTTGATTACTGGCGCAAACTCATTCCAATGATTTTGTAACTCCGGCTTCGGAGAAGAATGAGTCACATCACATTGCTCTTATTTTCGTCATAATAATTATTTTGTAGATTGAATATAAAGGTGACAAAGTTGACAGTACCTTACCATTAACTTATTTTTAAAGGAGGAGCAATTAGCTATCGCTTAAAAGTTTGCCTTGCAATATTTCTCCCTCTATATTTAAGGCTTTATTTCCCAGCATAGACTTTGTCAATAATAAGCGTGCAATTTTGATCGATGCTATAATTAATAGTTTCGAAGGTTTACGTGAACTTTGTACTTAGAAGGCAATATATTTGATAGATGACGTACTCACAAATATTTAAAAACTGTAGGAATAATTTTCAGATATTCGTGCTTTGTATAAAATATACTTATATTATACAGCATTCGTCCGGTTGAAATATCAGTGTTTACATTAAGTTTTGTAAAAAAATGTGGCATTTATTTGGATGGACTTAAAGTTTTAATTGTAGAACTGACTTTGCGACAAATAGTTAGACGGTCAGCTTACTTCATCGCTAATTCAAGGCTACTGACCTTGGACTTGATAAAAATTAATATGAAAGACGCATCTAAAAAACGTGTATTTATTTAACAAATATGCCCATTTTGTAGACCTTACTTTGAAATAAATTCTTTAACACGGTAGTTGAATTAAGAAGAGTTTATAGTTGAGGTAAAACATTTAATTTATCAGTGTATTTTGTTTTTATAGTATTTAATTTTTCCGAGTATTTTGCTTAACTCGTGGAGACGCTCCTTTAATGGTTAGTTGCGAAAGGCTTAGGGCTATAGGTTAAATTATTAGTTCTAACGCATGCTTATATTGATGTATATCTATCGGTCAGTCGCCCGGGACTCAGTCCGCGCGGAATAAAAAAAATATTTATTAATAGCCTAATGCCCGAATACTGAAACGTCACTCAAATATGTAACGGCGTCTTAAAAGATAAGACCACGCTTAAACTCCAATATGAAATTCTCAAACGTCAGTTAAAGGCGCATCTCAATTTTGAGGCTACTCAAGTAAGACGATGCTTACAGGCCACTCAAACCGAATTTCGTATTCTCAATCGTCACTCAGTGTCATTTTTCTGTCAAATGAACTGTCATGTCGACTTAAGTTTGCCAAAAATTTAAGAGCGGTCGTGAGGCATCTCAAATCTCTCTCAAATCTCAAAAACCTTACGAGGAACCATGTCAGTATCGTCATTATCATCGCTTTCGGACCATGAAAGGCCTAGTGTGTGTCGGCGAAACCCAAAAAATCCTCGATTATTTTGAAAAGTATACGGATGCGGAGTTTCGAGCAAGGTTTCGCTTGTCTAAAGAAACAGTATTGTATTTGGACACCGTCTATGAACCACCACCACCATCGTAAAACCAGAAACACAGTTGAACGGCTTTTTGGCGTTCTAAAACGAAGGTGCATTCAAGTGGGGATGGGTTTAAACAAAAATGTTCCTGCTGGCGTCATATCATGTGCAGTATTGCACTTTTACAGGACGATTCACTGTTAGAGGAGGACATTATGAACATGGAAGAGTTTACAGATCCACCTGTAGACAATGAGTATAATGAAAATTTCAATGTTAGAATAACCTTAATAATACACATTTCTCTTTTTCAACTTGCTTTTATTTTTAAAAACATACAATCTTTATTATTAACAGTGGCAGGTTTATTTTATCTTAATTTAAGTATTTGCATTTCTAGCTTATGTTTATTTATCATATGTTTATATTCTAAATCAGCGTTTCTTAGCTTGGCTCTAAAATAGGCTTGCTAGAGGTCATCCCCATGCCTTTTTTGAATTGTTTTTTTTTGCTTTTACCTTTCCTGGAAAAGTTTTAGCAATAAATATATTTATCAATGTAATAAAAACTTATTGAATATTTATGTTCAAAATATTTATCTTGTAAGCAATATAAAATTCTCTCTTAACCCTTAAATGCATATTTTTTTTTAAAATGCCATAAATTGAGAGAGGTGGAAAATTTTACATAGATTATGGGAAAATGAAGAAATAAAACTTTTTCTTTTCTAAAAAGTATATTTTATAAAAAACTTACTGATGTGAATCTACATCAGTATGCATAACGGTTACTATTAAAAATTTTAATTGAGTACTATTCTGCTGAACGATGGTCTTCTAGTTAGGCTCATTGCAGTGTATAAAAATCTCTGAAACAATTATTTTACCGGCATTGCGCTCCTTACAGGATTGTGCCCAATCTTCAAATGCCAGTATGAGCAAACACTAGGAAAATGCTCCATTGACATAAATAAAAGAATTCCAAAGATTTTTTTAACTCCCCAACAGTAATACTAAAATATATTAAAGGGTTTTTTTTTCCACTGCATATAAGTTAATTTCATCAACAATTTTTTAAGAAACTGGTGTAAAGTAATGCAAAAAACATTTATATGGTGTATCAAGTTCAGTTATAGCAGAGTCTGTTGTACTTGGTTGGCAAATTATTTTTGATTCATCATACAATATCATACAAACTGTCTTTTTTCCAAACAAGTTTCCTTTAATCAAACTACAAAATATTCATGACCTTCTTGCATGGATAATGAAGAAATAATTAATTAATAAATAATTACTCAATGAGTCAGGAAAATCTTGAACCAGTGGTGGATCGCTATAGGTAGGATCTTCATGATCCTCTGCATCCTCGTCTTCTTTCTCTTGAATTATCTCTCTTGCATAAGCTAAAAAGGTTTCGTCATCTTCACTTTCATCTTCCAAACCATCTTCAGAAACATTTCCGTCTTCTAAAACCGCCAATAGTTGTTTTATGTCTCAATTCTATGTGCCAATTTTCCGAAAATTCTGAAAGAATAATAATAACAATTCATGTAAATAAATTACGTATCTATAACCAAAAAGTCAAAAACAAAAATATATCCACATGAAAAGTACTTCTTGCCGATTTTGCATACTGACGTATTTCTACATCACAAGTATAAAGTTATTATTTACAAAAACTGTTATTGAATTCACCAAAAAACCCATATACTGTGTTCTGCTTACCTGTATTTTCTCGTAAATCACAATATCAAAATAAACAATAATGTCCGGTGCATTCCATTCTACAAAAATAAGGTCAAAATTATTTATTTTTTGTTAAAAAAAAATTAAAACAGATATGATATTCTTTTATTATAATCTTCTTTGCTTTAAATAAAAAAAATACGAAATACTCATAACATGCAGTATTTTTTGAATATTCTTTGATATTTGGGAATAAACTCATCTTACAACTACACATTGTCTAACCCTTGCTGCGTGAACCGGATACAAAAAGTTAATTTTAAGAAAATGTAATTGAGAACAAATCTTTTCTACATACTCTTTGACACAGAACAGAGGTTGTTGCCATGACGTAAAAATGTTACGTCTACTTACGGAATCACGCGCTTAGATGTCTTGATTTGCGTTTGTGAATTCCACTTAAGTTTTGACGTCTCTTAAATTATAAGCACTGTTTACGAAAGTAGATATTTGAGTGACGTTTCAGAATTCGGGCATAAGTGTTCTTCCAGACTATGGTCTACATCTATGCCAAGAGGTTTTGCGAGATCCATTTATAAGTAATATGATACGGTATCGCGCTTATAAACTTGAAATAAAAATAAATATAAATAAATGGGCTCATTTCCATCTCGACCTTGAAACGTTACTTTGAATACGAGAAATTTGTCACTCTTTATTAAATGCTATAAATTGCGAGCAGATTAATTTAATTATATTACTCTTCCTATCGTTTAACGTGGTCGGGGTAAATAACAAAGTAATTTGGGAAAAATATTGTTGAACAGCAAAGCGTCAGTGACGCGTTTGACCGCATAGAAGCAAAAACTTCGAGGTTCGGTCCCTGCCATGTACCAATAAGTTTTTCGATTTTTGAATCTCATATGCACATTTACCCGACGTTCTTACGATGAAGGAATAAAGGAAGGACGGAAACAACGTGGTGCAAACTGCACACATCGGTGAAAAAATCTAAACATATGTGTGAAGTTAACCAACCCGCACTGAGCCAGCGCGGTTTTCTATGGCCTAGTCACCCTTTAGTTGGGTAGGCTCTAAGCCACTCGATGGGGCATATAATGAGCTGGCGATATTGCATAGTAGGCCAGTTTACATTTGATATACAAATCCCAAACGTTCCAGCTTCCATTAGAACGTAGCCGTAATCAGCGCGTAATCGTGTGAAGGTACGAGTATTATAACACAACGCTATTGAGCGCAGTCGTTGCAAGGTTTCTGTAAAAAGTAATACGTTAAAGCAACAAAAGATTGGTGCCTTTGCCTTAATTCTCACTCCCACGCTCGACTAAAAATTAATTAGAAGGTAATTATGTCATTAAATTCGTAACTACTTATTTTGACAGTTTCGCTGGTGTTTGCTGGAAAGGATTAGAATACTCTTTATTCAAACTCTATTTGAACTTAGGGGTTAGTGCTAGAACTTACTACGAGCATGACCTTTAATAGTCACCATTGTTATTTGTATATGTTGTTTATTTTTAAAAATGAAAATGAAAATTCCAGACTAATAGCATCTTTCGTCACTTTCCTAAAATTTGATATGAATCAACTTTAGATATTTGCAATAATTTCTGGGAATCACCCATTGTGCCGTTTGATTCTATGGATTCGAACGGCCCAATGGGAAAACATTCTCTGATCACTATGATACAGCATCGCATTTCTTTTGCCACTGATGTCAGCAAGGAATACGATACTAAACCAAATTTTCGTTGAACCCAATTTTATGACATCATCGCAGTCACATGGTAACGAATTCGCAACAGCCCAACCTCTGGGTTATTGGCCGCTAATTCGCCGTGATTGTAGTGCAATTCGTGCAATAATGCAGAAATTTAATGCTGCAATCGAAAATTAAATTTCAATAGGTAGATCTATTTTGTAGTCTATAATTTTGAGGTTGGTTCAAATTAAATGCGCTCAGGTGTGCCAGGTATCCGGACAAAAGCGTTTCCCAACTAAATATTTTAAACGATTAAAAGGTTGGTAAAAACTCCATTTGCGTAACCTTGAACCGTCGTAAAGCGTTAGCTTCGGGTCATGGGTTTTACTCGTTTGTACGTCCAAGTAATAAACTCATTGAAGTAGACATGCGTCGATTTAAGCGGTAGCTTATAGTAAAAGGGCGAGGTTGCTTACGATATTGTTAAAACAATTTTCGCACGTGAAAGGGAGTCATTATCTTTGACTCTAGGGCTGCTTCTTTTGAAAAATAATATCGTTAGTTGGAAAATTCTTCTTGAAACTAACAAAGATTTTTAGCATACGCCTTGATGACAATTTAAATTGAAGTTTTTTTTTTAGTACGGCTTCAGTGCTTTGTATGAACGTTTTGCCGGCGCTTCCCATTGCACAAATTTTCGTTTTGGTTCCAACACATCTTGGACAGGTATTGTGTATATTCGGAACTTTGCGTTTCCAACCGAAAGGCCAGGGGAGTGAATGCGGTAGGCGGGCGCGCAACACAAAATGAATTGTAGCGAATATGTGGCCGCACACCTTGATTATTACAATAATTAGCTATTCGATTTATAGCCAAGCTTGGACTGAAATCATTTCCAATGTAAGCACCATACTGACATCTAAAATATTTCTTAAAATTAAATCGTGCGTTTAATTATTTCGTGATTTTTAACGTAAAATATTCGAAACCTTTGCCATCCCTGATAGCAACTTACAAAAAGCCTACATTTTAACATCTACATACGTCCAAAGTAATTTGTTATTGTACGCAACGTGCGGCAAAGTTAAACGCATTCTTTTGATTTAAATGCATTTGTGTTGTTAATGTTTACGTTCTTTACGTAACTGTGAATTCGTCTAATTGTTCACCTCTGTATATAGTCTCAACTCTCGTTATTACTCAGAAATTAAATCTAAAATCTAAAAATTAACCCAGAATAATTAGAAAGTATTTTTGTAGTCTTTCTATCTGTGTATCACTGTCAGTATTATAATTTATCATAGTCTATTTTAAATTAATTCTTAAGTGCATTCATTATTATTTTTTACTTTTTAATGTCACATTATTTATTCAATTCAGATATGTATTTCTTGATAGTCATGAAATCTGAATTTAAGTTAACCACATCGAGTAGTAGTAGTCGGTTTCCACTGCCGAAAAATCCGTACAAAAACATATATTTCGATCTTTGTGTTATCAAAGAGATAATATAATATACTTCAGTATCATAGGTTTCATTTTTAAAACAAGAACCCCCGACGGATCTGAAACTTGTAGCCTTTATCGGCTTGACTATAGGTGTATCAATCCATTTTAATTAGATTATTCAAACTTTTGGGAGAAATTAAACTAATATGTAAATTTAAACAATTTAATAGATTTTATCTGTGAACAAATTGCTTTGTTTATCTGCTGCGTGATGTAGAGTCCGGTTGGGCGCAGATTTACGTCGTCCTTGCGAGGAATGCGAGGCCGCAGTGATCGCGGCCGCTCATGTTCTTTGGTAGCCAGTCCTCTTGTGAAACATAATAATTGTTGTTTTACACTCGATCATTCCGTATTCCGTGCATGTCATTATGACGCCAGCGCACATCCTGCGCCTTGGTATCGCCTCGCGCTACTCAGCGTTACCATTGTAATCCTAGATTTGTCATTAGCGTTCAATTGCTAGCTTTCAATGTATTATCAAGATTTAAGTTTTCCTTCTTGGTGTTTATTGGTAACGAATAGCATTGGCAATGATTTTACAGACTATATTATGCAATATAAGGGATGTAAGCTGGAATGGACAAGAAGAAGGAAGAATTTGGACATTCGAATGTTATAGTGTGATTAATAATTCAATAAAAAAGATTTTTTTTTAGAAAGGAAATTATAGTTAAATATACGTGGAAAAAAATTAATAACACCACAAAAACAGTAATTTGAATTGCAACCATTGTAGAAAGTGTTTTTAAACGTTAGTAAAAAGTTTGAATGGTTTCTAATAACATTATATTCAACGATATTCTAATTATATCCATGAGCGCATTACTGTTGTGTTAAATAGGAAAACAAACATATTTCAAGTGTTATTGGCCATACCAACAAATCATGTTAATTAAACAAGACATAAAAAAACTTGCGTAGTACAACTGCCGTTAAAGCCGCTTCCTTACTTTTTTTCTGTATCTGGTTTATTTTGCTTTTAGTATTTATGCACATATTATATATTGAGTCATGTAATTGACTTCTGATAGAGGACAAAATTTTTTACAGTATTTTGTTCCGCATATTTATTTTGCCAAAGAGTGATAGAGTCCACATCTGTTTAATGAAAAAACTTGACTATTGAAATACCTTATAGAAGATAGCACAAAGAAGTATTCTGCCTATTATGTGATTAGTTTCTAGTGAACGAGTGTTTAATCGCTTGTTTATATTGTTGTCAACTTTCTAGTTATAATTTGGTAACACTGACCCAATGACATATTTTAAATCAATGTCGACGGCCCTTGGGATAAATATAAAAACTTTCATTTTCCAATCGTTTTCCGTTATCATTATATTTATTACAAGTGTATAATTATGATAGAAGTTATTAACAAGTTGCCGCTTATCGATGATAGATGTGATTGTAAACGCATGTTTATAATTATGGAATTAATCTTGCTACCATGTGTAGGATTGAAGCGATTGTTAGTTTATATTGTCATCAACTACACGAGTTGAGTTAGTTCAATGTCAAGGATAAAAGTACTATTAATAATAGCACAATTATTTCTTAAATAAATGTGAGTAAATTAATAGTCCGATCCAACTATTGCACATCTATCCTTAATATACCTTTGGTGTATAAAGCGATCTGATTAATATGGAACTTTTCGATTGTCCATAATCATTTTTTTATTAAAGAGATAGTCATAATTAAACCTTTGTTCGATAGATTTTTAACGGATCTTGTACGCATAAAATCTTTTTACACACAATTTTGATAGCCTTATTTGCATTTTACAAATAAAAATTGATAGATTTTTAAGTAGTTATATCTTTAGGGACTGAAGTATGATCAATAAATCGATTAATGCACTGTTAATAAAGTCACTTTAAACAAACATTATTTTTTTTATCGAATCAATAAGGAAATTGAAAGTAACTACGGAAGTAGAACTACTATTTTACGGGTGTCAACAAAGATATCTGAGAAAGCGTACCTTCTATATACCTTTTGGAACGTGACGTAATGAAAAGACACGCCATTAAATACTTTAACAGTTCATTTTTATTGCGCAATATCGACAAAGTTCAGCCGCTGCTCTATATTGGGATTGCGACACTAATGTAGGGCTATTTTGCTTAACATATATTTCTTAATCCTGAAGCAATCTCTGTTAATATTTTGACAAAATTATTAATTCCTTGCACAACTCCTTATCATCAACCAGCTTTATTATTTAAGACTGTCGTGTCGATAGTTGTTGCTAACTAAGATATTACAGCCCTGTTGGGTTCGATACGAAATATACCTTAAATTATTATGCAATTTTCATTTTTTTTCACTTATGGTGCTTGTTGCTCTATCTTCTTTTGTATGTTTAACAATACAAAAAATAATTGTTTATAAATAAATCGAAGGGACAGTCAATTTAGTAGTAACAACAGATACGGCATTCAGGCTGCTATAAAGTCTTTGTTGTCAGCACTTCTGTTCTCTTACTTTTATAAAAACTTTACTTTTATGTACTTTTGTTGAAAAAACCTTGTTATGAGTATACTGATATCCGTTTACGTAAATTATTCTTATTAATCAGAAGCATGTAGATCAGGCATAACGAGGGCAAACTACTATTTCTCTCAGTCAGCGTTGACGACATTCAGATAGCTGTTTTGCAACATCTCTATTGACGATATCTAACCATCTATAAACTATTTAATTATGAATATAAAATACATCTGTTACTCTAAATAGCATAAATATTAGTGTGCTCATAGTAATTAACACTTACGTACAACAAACGTACGTACGTTACGTAATTTGATTTTTTGACATTTTTAGCGTGTTTTAATCATGTGACGCTAGACAGAAATTCTGTTGAGATTTTCTGTCACCGTACCGTACGTTTAAACTTGACCTTTGGTTAAATAACTAGTTTCAACTAAAGAAGTCACTTAATAATATTGTGTGCTTAAATTCTTAAGCATTTGTAATACAAGGTTCAAGAATTGCTCATTCTGTTAAACTAAAATATAATATTTTATGTCTTTGTGTCTTCAGTGGGGCGGAATATTTTATTATCTGTATGCATTTACCGTATTAGCTCATAAATACCTACCTACATACATGTTTCAAACTAGTTATCTTGATGTAGATACTTTATTTCCGTCTCATAATATCGGTCGAACGATCTTGATCTTGCGGCTGACCTGACCCATCGATGTCTGCGCTTTATTAATAAAACATGAGATGTCGCACAAAGTTCTCTATCCATGAATTGCAAATCTTGCCTTTAGAATCATTGATGGAGAATACGCATAAAAATTTTGTAATTAAGAAAATCATGCTGCATTACTTAACATCTTAATCATTGTCGAAAAAAAAATGTTCGTTACAAAATTCAGACCAAGGTTAATTTTATGCATCATCGGCCATATCTTCAGGTTAATTAGTTTTTTTTACAAAATTCAAAAATTGTGAAGTCTTGAAATGTTATTTTTATATGGCGTTAGGTGATATTTGCAGAGGAGTCGATTTGATTATACATAAATCAATCTCTCCCTCTTACTAACATGGTAACGCATATTCTTATCACCCCTAACCTATCCTTAGTCAACTAAGTGGTAAGTTTATCATTTATGCAGTATCGTATTAACGTATTATTTGTGTTCCAGCTGCGAGTGCCGCTGCGTCAGGTGTTGAGGCCGCGCGACCTCAATGTGACGATCAGCAAGAGACACCTGACGGTGGCCGTGAAGGGTCAGCCGCCCATCATCGATGGAGACCTTGACTCAGACGTCAAGGTGGAGGAGTCAACGTGGGTGCTGCAAGATGGACGGAATCTACTCGTCAACCTGGAGAAGGTATCATCAGGCTCTTGTACTACTGTTGTTCTTGAAGGTCCATTGCCGCAGAATTAAAAAAAAAATTAAAACATATCGCCATCACTGCTTTCTCGGTTTTTTGGCAATGGAATACCCACAGTATGAAATATTATACATATGTTTTACTTGCGTTATGTATTTTCTTGTATTCAAGGTTTCAAGTTTTCGGAGCAAAACAGCAAACCATTTGATTGTCTACTAGCAATCATATGTTGACCGAAAGTTTAGTAAACTAAATTATTTTTTTCATCTTAACAAAGGATAACCAAGGCGTCTCAATGCAAAGAACGCTTTAATTTTTAATAATTTTGTTTATGATAATAAACATCGCTATGTAGTAACATTATATCTGAGAATTTTAATTAAACTTGTTTTCAATAATCTATAGGTTTATTATTGAATTAAAAATGATATGATAGAGTTTTAAATTGCATGTTTTTCAGTTTTATTTTTTGACCTTACATATTTAGAAAGAAATTAACAAATTATTTTTATTAATTCTAGGTTAACAAAATGAACTGGTGGGGCCGTCTTGTAACAACGGACCCGGAAATATCTACGCGAAAAATTAACCCAGGTAAGTACAGCTATGATCAGTTTACACTATTCCAGTCCAGCTGTCAATTCCAGCGCTCGACTACATCTGTAAATTGATATGATTATACTGGAATACTCTGTGTGGGGTTTAGTAAGGGTTACATACTTCTAATTGATATACACAGCTGGATTCGATCGCCGTACTGGATAAGTGTTACTTGGAGATTTCAGTGAAAACAGAGTAACAAGGAAGCCTAAATTATTATTTCCTTGCTTTCTTTTTAAAGTACCTTTAGAATATAAAAAATGAAGTTTTACTTGATTATTTATTTGCTGCAGAACCATCAAAGCTATCGGATCTCGATGGTGAGACTCGTGGATTGGTCGAGAAGATGATGTACGACCAGAGACAGAAGGAAATGGGTCTGCCCACCAGTGATGAACAGAAGAAACAAGATGTACTTAAGAAGTAAGTAAAGAAACGTAGTAGGGTTCCATTGTTTAACATCTGAACACAATGATAACTTATATGTCCTAAGATATTATATGTTTCGTATTATTAAATGAGACGTGACGTCTTTTTCTAAAATAAAACCTTAAATTTTAAAGCAAGAAATCTATTGATGCTAACCTTGAGAGGTGTGTTATTTTGGTAGTTTTTGCTTTATTTAAGACTCATACCTATTTAAAATATTATTAATAAGTAATATTTTCATGTTAATTTTAAAGTTTGAATACTATCTTTGTGACTGTCAATCATTATTTAGTTAATGCAGGAAAAAAATAATTTAAATAATAGATGACTTCAGTTTGGATTCCTTGTACAATTTTTTGCTTTAAATATATAAATAATATACAAGCTGTCGTCCGCGACTCCGTCCGCGCGGAATTAAAAACCTTAATAGTAGCCTATGTGTTCAGACTATGTTCTACAATACCAAATTTCAGCGTGATCCATGCAACCGTTCTGGAAATACCTTCAAACAAACATCCATCTAAACTTTCGCATTTATAATATTAGTAATATTAACACATTTGTTTCAGATTCATGGAGCAACATCCTGAAATGGATTTCTCTAAATGTAAATTCAACTAATTATGCGTATTGCATATGACGGACAACATTCTCATTCCAATGGTTGTCGTGGGAAGACAAGGATTACTTTACTTACACTTAATTTTAAATGTGGCATATATTGTAGGAGTACTGCATTTTATGTATGCTTCTATCAGCACTATTATGTACCTGCCTTGAGGGCGTGTGTGCCTGTATAAAATAAATGTTAATTTAAAAATATTGTGCGTTTTATTCATTATCCTTAAACTATATGGAAGTTGCTCTTTTATTAGAAATTAGAAGAAATATAGGTTAAATGATAACGAAATATTGTATAAAATATCATTTATTTAAAATATAAAATATCAGTCACCAGCGCAAGTCTGGTCTATGGCATTGGTCAGGTTACATCAGGGATCTGATCCAGGCGTTGAAGGAGGTGACCCTGGCGAAACCGGCGGGCATGTTCTGCTGGCAGCCGCGGCTCGAGCCGAACGATGTCACACCGATCTGCAATACAACATCTCAAATAGTACCATCCAAACTTTATAGCTGCTTGCAATTTTGCACTAAGACACGTTTTTAGATATCAGCACGACGTAGTTAACAGCAGTATGCCAAGCAACAGTGCAAACCAACCTGTGACAACATGACCACAGCTAACTACGTCGTTTAGTGACCAAAAATCGATCTGGATTCTAATATTGCTTATTCTACACAATAGTAACGGGCTAAGGTAAAAGTAAGTGGTAAACTAACGAGAGTGTTGCCGATGGCGAGCGGACCGCCGGAGTCCCCGCTGCATGTGCTGATGCGGTTGGCGCCGCTGATGCACAAGGTTGAAGCGATAACGGTAGTTGTGCCGTATGTCAGCCTGCACACGTTGTTGGTGATGACCTGGACGCGAGCGTGAGACAGGAACTGGTTGGTGCTGATGCTACCACCTGGAAAGTGAATATATCTCATCATATATTATTCTCACTTTTGCATTTCATTCTCCTTGTATGTAAGTAATTGTCTGTTTCATAAGATAGTCTTTTTTCATTAAATTATAATATTATGGAAGACGATTTAAATTTTCATTTTAGACAAAAGGAATACGCAAAGACTAGGCCCATGTATAAATTATGCAGAAATGTTTGTTCATTACCGTCCGCGGTCAAGCCGAATCCAGCTGCGTCAGCCCAGGAGCCCGCGAAGTCGTTGGTGCCAGACGCGAGGTTAATGTTGCGGATGGTGTCTGCAAAAACATTTGTTTCAGGATATATACATGTATATCTATCGCTACAGAGAGTCCAGTTAAGTGCTCTTAACACAAGATACTAATTTATAAGAAATTTAAAGCAACAATTCAGATTTATAGGTGCACTGCATTGTAATTTTATTTAAAACATGTTATGTTTTTTTACATAGAATTACCAAAAAAAAACAAATTATCAATTAAAAAAGGAAAACCAGGTTTATCACATAATATTTAGCCATACTCACTGGTGTAGGCTACGGAATTGATGGTGATAACAGCAATGTCGTTGTTATAGTTGTTCATGTTGTAGCTGCCATGCATCTGTACACGGTCGGTGGTGATGCGGGTGCCACCGGAGAAGAGGGTTACAGAGCCGAGTACTACGACGAAGAGTCGCGCCTGTGCGGTGCGGTCGCGCCAGCAGTGCGCCGCGGTCACCAGCCGAGTGTTGGAAATCAACGAGGAGCCGCATACTGAGGTGCGGCCGTCAGTTAGCGTGATCACCAGCCCTCCCTAACGTGTACAAATACTAAATCAAAACATTTCGGTACCAAAAAGATTAAAAAAAATTTGACTTTTTGGTAAGGTTTCGGGTTACAATAAGGACGTTGATTCATTTCACCTTAATCCCAATTTTGCGTTCATTTTAGATTTGTTTTTTACAACTCGTACCAAAAATAATTACCGTACCATATACGGGTAGGCGCCAAGAGCAGCCGCGGATCCGCCGACTATTCTGGAGCCGTCAAAGTCGGCAGCTAGCTCCGCCTGCTTGATGGCTTCAGCTTTCGGGATGCCCACGTTAAGGTGGTAGTCGAGTTCGATGGGCTCCTCGGCCACGGCCAACGCCGCCAGGCAGGACAGGACGACTACGAACAACTTCATTGTGGGATTGGCTTTGGAACCTAATGCTCACACAAGATCATCCTCAGCTTTTATACTGACTCTAAACTGATTTTAACTCTAAACACGGATTATTATAATTTATTATGATAGTGTCAAATCTTGGATAAGCGATTGTTGGGTTTTCCGACAATTATAATTTCCATATTGGTCACATAATGATCGGTTGATAAAGATAATTTTAATATTTAGGAAGTCTGAAGTTATCTGAAGTATATGGCGAGTAAACGATTAATTATTGGTACTATTTTGTTTTTGCACCATCTTCGACGATGCTCTCATGACTGCGGATAGGATAGCGCAGTTTTTTTATTACCTGATTTATAAGACCTTTTTTTTTTTCGTGCATGTGTAATTTTGTTTTTGAGTATATATGGATTTGTATAGTTGTAAATTTCATGATGACCGCCTGAAATCTTCATTTTTTTAATGGAACCTGGAGAGGCAATATCAGTAACAAAATTTAGTTCAAATAGAATATGGTGTTAATAGTGGAAGAGATGGATTTGGAAAGCTGGCCCTGCCTTGAGAGATGCGAGCTAAGCAGAGAGGGAGAATATGATTCATTCAACACTGTGGTTGAGTAGATAGAGTAGGTTTTTTGTTCAAACATATAGTGTACTTTGTTACCGGAAGTGATAAGATTAATAACACATAAAAAAGATAATATTCTTAATCCAATTTGAATGTGTTAAAAAATGGATTGTAATGGTTTCCTTTTATTCTGTCGATAAGATTGTACTCTGAGTAGTACCAGCGCTCGGCTCGACCGGTGAAATACCGCTACACACCACTACACACTAAACCACAAAAGCTAAGCGTAAAATGAATTGTAAGTTTAGTTTGATGAGTATGGTACTGGAGTTCCGATGCCAATGCGCCCCTTTCCTCTTACCTACAAGAATGATATTAGAAAGTGCGAGGTTGATTGGGAAGAAAATGGGTAGAAAAAAGTAATCTCTGTCTTGTCTATCACGAATAAAGATACGTTAACCAAGGGGCTAAGATCATCGTTATATGGCTCACGCATCCCTATCATAATTGAATTTTAAGAAAAGGTAAAGATGACGATTTTTCTTAAAATGTATATAGAGCTTATCAATATATAAAACGGAGTTTATTTTAATATTTCTGGGCGATTTCTTTATAGATTTGAAGGAGAACAGACTCTTCAATAAAGTAACCTTAAGTTTTAATGGCAACATTGATAGTAACGTCAACCATCAAAATAAACACGTAAACGTAATATTTCGTTCTTTTGCAGTTTATATGCGGAATAAGATTGAGAAAAATGGTTAGAACTGTATATTCACCAGAATATTGCCTGCAGTATTTAGAACAATATGCATCTCAAGAAATTTTTGTGACAGGATTAATTTTGGGTCAGGTATGTGTGAGCACACTTTTGGTCTGAATCAAATGAAATTTATATTAATATTGATTGTTTCCATATGAATAGATTACAGATGCCCGAGAGAATGTTATACATATAGCACGAACGCCAGAAGAGAAAGGCGGTGAAGCGATTTCAAACGATGGTAGCTTTGCGTCAGAGAAACAGGATCCTGTTAAAAATTTACTGGGAGTTTCTGAAGCTTGGGTTGCTGATCATGCTAAACATGTTACAAGAATGTTACCGGGTGGCATGTTTGTTCTGGGTAACTATTAAAACCATAATAATTTTTATTTTGAAAATGGGTCATTGTAACAAAATTGACACATTTATACATGAATAGAGGCAAAGTTATGCTAGCTAAAAATATAAAAAGGTCAATTCAAATTTCTAACTGTTTAAAGATATAACTTATTTAACATTACAAAGTAAATACTACAAGCATAAATTAACAAAAGTTTCTGAACTTTACATGTTGCACATGTGTTAACTATTTGCTATAGTGTAATTATAATTTCCTTATCATTAACAAATAAAATTGAGTTTAAAATGCACTTGTAGTGTGTATTTGAAAGGTCAGGAATTTAAATTACTGAAAATTGATTAAACTTAGTTTTGTTGTATTTAATAGTAATAATTAAAATAACAACGGTAATTACAGAAATTCAATCTATTCTTAAAGTTCAATTGTGAATTAAATTAATTTTATGCAAATATTTGCCCTTTAGCAAATCTCAATTGCTTCCTTTAAACCTAATAAAAATATGCCTTTTATCTTGGAATTTCAGGTATTTTTATTACAAGTGATGAAGATGTTTTTGAAGATCCCAACTATTTTAGCAAAGTGAAAACTATATTGAACTACACATATAAAGTACTGAATACAAATCATTTAATGTTTGCCAACTGTCCACATTCCAATGAGAGGTTAATTTTGCATATGTCAACAAACACAAAAGTGTTGACATGTAAAAGTATTGAAGTAGGACCCAGTAAGAATGTTGCCATTAAACCTGTTGAGTGGAAATTCTTATCCAAACCTCAGCAGTGGCAGCGATTGGATTGTTATTATGAGTTTGATGAAGTTTACCCTGTAATTGTAAAGAAAAGTGGCATATCGGTTAAACAACAATTTCAGGTAGGCAAAAAAAAAAAACAAAATCATTTCAAAACTCAAATCAACCTATATAGCTAAAAGTTAACATATTTTATTAAAAGATGGGTAATAATGTGTCATACTTCTTCGACAAGTAATTTAATTTAATTAATGCATTAACATTTCAGCAAATACTGGAGTCATCTCATAAAACTATTGAGTCAAGTGTAATGTTCCTTGATGGAGAGCTGAAAGATCCCTCAGAGCAACTAGAACAACTGATAAAAAAGAAAAAGACAAAGAACAGCTCAAAAACAGCACAAGAAGTTCCCAAATCAATGCATGTGTCATTATTTGTGCCTTTTGTAAGTACGGGTAACTTTTGATAGCTTAAATTGTGACCTTGCTTTTTATTTGTATAATCACAAAATGACTTGAGTTGTGTCATCAGCTCGTACCCATCCCCAATGAGGGACTAAAGCCTACTCTTAGGATTTATTAAAGCAAACTCAGTGCTTATTGGTTACATCACAATATTTACCTTCAAAAGTGTTGACTTTAGTTACATATTGCATATTATTTCGTCATCATTTACACTTTTTGTACTAAAAAGCATAATGTTGAAAAATAGTTTTATAACTTTTTAGGAGAATGCTTTACCCGAGACTGTAGAGTATTTGGAATGCGATGGCAGTATACATTTTAGTGGTATTGTTGCATCCAGTGTGTTCATGTACCCTAAAGCATCAGTTGGTGAGGCCATAGCGGCTGTAAAGCAAGATATCATACGGTCACTAGCATCACGCTTTACAATGCATTGTGATGCATTAATTGATGATAATTTATTACCCGAAGGTTTGTAACTGTTTTTAGTGTTTTTTTTGTTTAATTTTCATGCAGGGTGGCTTTAAACTAAACCTACATAATCAACTTAGTAAGAACGAGTAATAATTTTATGTGGTTTTTTTTAAACTTAGCTAATCAGTAAAACTTAATAATATTTAATTTACTTTTTGAACATAAAATTTCCTGACTTTAAATAATCAAAGCTATTTTACTATAATCTATTTCAGAGAAAGTGTGTTTCAACGAGCCACCCAGACGTGTGCTAGTACCAGTTGGGTCATTGTACCTCTGTGACTACTTGTTCCCTGGGGAAGCTCCTGCTGAAGCCCTGCTATCGGTGCGGGAACTTCTCGACTTGCAGATCACGGAGGCAGATGTTATCTGTGATATTGAGACTCCTGCCGGTATGTTTTTTATATATTAGAACAGCATTCATTGTTAGTTAACCATCTATAATTTTCCTGTTAAAGTGAAGCATTTATTTACCATTCTTTTAGAGTCCCACAAAATTATGTGGTCTGGTGATAGTGATAATGTTATATTGCTTAGTTTGACGAAATATATTTAATAGTTATAGAAAATGACACATAAAACAATATGGCTTCCTTAAATATACTTTTTCCACTGGGCCAAATAAGTCGGTGGCTCTGTACATATAAGCTTGCTATTTGATGTGAATGAAACAATTTTCATTTATTAATAATTTATAAAAATGCATGAAATATTTTTGGCCATCCAAATATTTTTTTTAATGATTTTACATTAAAAATTATAAGATGTGTGTCCTGTTTATTTTATTATCATATTGTTTCAGATACGTCAGAGTTTGATGCACTTGATAGAGACACCAGCAGTGAGGAGTTGTTAGCTACCCCGCAAGAAGCCAGCCAGTTTATGTACATAACGGGCATTGCTTTTGCGTTCTTAGTCTTGTTTGTGTCAATTTTTATCCACTACTATGACAGTATTTCAGAATTTATGCGTAAATTATTAACGATATCGTGAAATAATGCCATCAATGTTTACTCTCTACAGATTATAATGCTATAACACAATAAATGTTTTTTTTTCAATTTTATATTTTAAAGTGACATATAACTTGTTTTGTACAGATATGTGATGAGTAAAAAATAAATATATAATTTCAAATTATACGTGTTTTTAATCACTTGTGGTTATCTTATATAGTTCTATTTATGTCTTTGCTGTGATTAATGCTATTTCCACTCTTGATAATGCTGACATCTATAGTGAGCAAAATCTCTCAAAACAATTGATTTTACAGCGCCATCTATGAACCAAATTCTACACTATAATTGTCGCCAATAGATGGCAGAGTGGTAACTTCAGTAATTTTAAAAGCACACTTTTACCATTATTCCTGTCGCAAGGAGTTTATGAAATATGCACAAGAGTAAAAGAGAGGTTCGATAAACGCTCGCGCATTGTTAGTATTCCTTTAAAATTAGTTGTATTTTTTTATTTGTACATTATGCCGGGAACTGTTCATGTTCACAATTGACATTCATTCACATGTCATGCAATTCACGATTGTAATTTGTAATCGTATACGCGGGTAACAATAATACAGTTCTATTTATCAAGTGTTATTAGAAACATGTGTATTTAGACGTGATTTTATAGTGTTTTGGTAAAGTTGAACAATTGAATAGAAATGTGAACAAAAGTGCAAGAATGTAAACGAGTTTCAAATAAAATGTATGAATCTCAATTTATTCAATAAACCGGTTTAAGAATAAATATATGCGCGATATCAAAGTGAAGACGGTATTTGTTTATCATGGCGTTTTCATTGAATAAACTTAAAAATATTTTAAATTCCAATCGAGAGAATCAGTTATCGGGAAGTGGAAGCTTAGATCCGGAAATAGGGTTCAAATTAGCATTGCATCCTGTTAGTAAAAATTTGTATGTGACGGTTATTGGCGCTCGGCACCTTCCTTCCTTGTTTGGATTAAGTAGAGCTCATGGATACCTTGTTAAAGTAAGTTTTTTATGAACATAATTATGTACTATTTTATGTTGTATCATAAAAAGTGTTTTGTAAACCTTTTAATACACTTATTTTGAGTCGAAACTAATTTCGCCATAAGTTTTAATTTTCCCCGTCATGTTGATAATGTCTATAGATAAGCACTGCATATTTGGAGGTAGATACTTACTGCAGAAATTTTGATTAAGTGTGTTTTATAAATTAAAAGCGAAACGAAATTCGTGTAATTTCATTTTATTTTTTATAACTACAATTTCGAAACTTACCTGCAAGGGTAACAAGCAAAATACACAAAAACATATTGTGTTACAACTAATATGTTTTTGTACAAAACGAGCTGCATTTCTCCATATAACGATATTTGTCGTACATTATTAATTACATCTTACAAAACATCTTTTAAGGAATCCACGACATTAATTTCTTCCACCCATCTCTTCCGTTTATAAATTGCACTATATATTATGTGTTTACATTTATGACCATGACTTTAATAATTTCTCTTCCTAAGAAAAAGAAATCTTGATATGGAAATTATTATTACCTTAAATATCATGTAAATCGAACAGTTATTGTTACATATGTGGTTATATCCTTAGAAAATAGATATATATTGGGTGATTCTTGACGAACTGGTCAAAAGCTTTGTGGAGGTAGAGGACCTCATTAGCTTTCATAGTAAATAAAACATATTACATAATCGATTTAATATATCAATTATTTATAACATCTCGAATGACGATAGCCTTGAAGGTTAGCTGAACTAATTATTATTAGGGTTGTCTACCATAAAAAAATGTACACTCGAATAGTGGCAGTGAAAAGAAGCGTCAACCATTTACAAGAAAATGCTTGATATTTGTCAAATGAAAAAAAAACATCGAAGCCAAATAACTATGTAAAATAGAAACTTGAAGTGTTAACAAACCTAAATAACTCAGCGCCCATCGTTAATAGTTAATTATTCTTTTGCTTTTTTTACTGATGAACCTTTTATTTACTTTAGTCTTTCGCATAATTAAAAATCAACGATGCAATTTTACACGGATGCGTTGCGTTAGTATGTACCTGTAATATTTTTGAGATCCAAGTACCAAGTCGTCTCGATTCAAATTATCAACAGTTAAGATTTTAAACTCGTGTAATTCCACAATGCCGGTCAAACTCAATTAACGTGGTGCTAAATTATAAACACGGCTCCGAAGTCTGAAACTCGACCGATGACGTCATAAATTTACTTTTATAGCGCTGCCACAGCTTTACAGTATTTATGTTTTTTCTTTGCAGTAAATAAATGAGATACAATGCCGAGCTTTAATACGGAGATACTTATAAATTGGTCTAGAAGATGTTTTGGTTTTAGTCCAGATAAGTCTGTTATAAAAAAAATCTGCCCAAAACCTTGAAAGTCTCCCGAAATTATTTTATTGTACTACATTAAAATCTACATGCAGAAAACTGATGACTTCATCACAATTATATTCGTTCTGAATTTTTAATTAATACATGATTCAAGGTCGTCTGGTCAAACGCATATGCAATTGCGTATGTCTATGGGCAACGGTCACTTCGCTATTTTTTGCGATTTCAGGTGGCCGCTCGCTCGTTTGCCACCTTATGATATAAAAAAGGCGCCCACCGTGAAATAAAATCCATTTCTGAATTTGTTGTGATAAATAAAACAAAGCGACCAATTTTTGTTATAGCGACCCTCTGTATGGTTATTATCTTTGTAATTTCCATATTTATCAGTATTTACATATTGAACGACAGTAATTTATGTATAAAGGAAGCTCAGCGATACAATAGGAAAATTGACAATAAAATCTTTCTGAATATTCTTCAAAAATAACAGATAAATAAATTGTTGATATTAACTGTCACCCTCATGCGACGAACTCGTAGAACGAAAGACAAAATCATAAAAATTATATTTGTTTCCAGTTTTTTTTGTGAAACACGGCACTTTAAGGTCGACTACACTAATACAAGTTACCTTTTATGTTCGCTATATTTTCATATGTCCCATTTGGAAAAGATACGAACTTTTATAGAATTGCTAAATAGCATTGACTACTGCTAGTTGGATACAAGTAACCGTGAGTTTCTAAGATCGAAATCCCCTTTTAAAATATATTGATATCTCTGTTTTGTCAAAGATAATGACAGGGATGACATTATGTTTTATACAGAGATTTTCGTCTCAGAAATCAACGGTAAGTCAGAAACCGCGTTTCTAAATGTAATTCAGAAAAGGATGATCGGGCATTGGTTTCTTGAGAGTGTTTTTCTATGTATAAGTATAACTATTGCACCTCAAAGTAATGCAATAAGTAGGTATAGTGTATTTACATATAGAGACTTTTTTGTTTTTGTAGACTAACATTTTATAGAGCTATCACTTACAAGTTTAGTGTTGACTGATTAGTTGATGTAATTAATTATATGTACATTGACGTGGCATATTCAACCGTGGCAAAATATTAGTAGGATGTATTCATAAAATTACGTTTGGTCTGTTACATCCTTGATCTTTGTTATAAACGATAGTATTTGTTACCCCATGCTGATGGATTTTATGAGTATAATAAAGAAAGTTATAATTGACCTTTTATGTTATTTAATAAGTTGTATTAAATCATAAGGATGTGTTTGATTTATTAAATTATATACGTTGTTTTCAAAATATTGGTTGTGGTAAAATCTTGCTAATAAACGAGCAAACTTTGGTAAGCAATAAATTATGAGCACGTGCTACACGAAGGTCGTAATTTTCCGTTACTTATAAATCTAAATTTGCTCAAGAAACCATAGTCAAGTTCAATAAACGTCTAGCTTTATTAACAACAGTGCTGTTGCTATATACTTAAAATATAAGATAAGATAAACAATTATTTTCTGTTTGTTTACATTCAAAATCTTACTAATATTATAAATGCGAATGTTTAGTTGGATGGATGTCTGTTTGAAGGTATCTCTAGAACGGCTGAACGGATCTGTACGAAATTTGGCATACATAGAGAACATAGTTTGGAAGAAAACATAGTCTACCAATTAAGTTTTTTTTTAAATTCTGCCAGAACGGAGGCGCGGGTGATAGCTAGTACTTCATAAACAGCAAGCTTCAATCTTCATCCCATAATCTAGATATTTAGCATGGAAAAACGCTGTTTTTAACTAAAATATCTTAGCAAATGGTTTGTTGCGTTAGATTTCTAAATGCGAAGTTCAAGAGTAATGGACCTGTCAGATAAACTCTGAGTGTAATCTTGTGACTTACGTAAAGCCTAATACGTAAAAATTGAAATATTCTTTAAATATTTAATATTAATAAAAATATCTTACTGTTCTCAAATACTTATGTTTCTTAATAAAACTATATCAATTTCCATAGTTCGTAGTTACGTAGTTTAGCACTTTTGGTGTTTTTTTTTAATTTAAATAACACTATATAGTATAAATCTTTTTAATTTTATGAGAGTGCAAAATGCATAGCCATTGATAAGGGACGCCGTATGTTTGTTCTAAGTTATGTGAGATAATGCACGTCGTGTCTTCTGTTAAGTTTAATTGCTGTTTGACGTCATGTCGCAATTTACATTTTAAAATGAACACATACTAAACTGTGCTGGTGTATTACTAATTGCTTGTATATAAAGTACTTATGCCCACAGGTTGATAAATGGGTATCTCTATACAGTATATCTCACACATAATCTTATTGATTTGATTAAAATCTACATCTCAAGGCTTTGATATCTTAGTTAAATACCCTCTTTCTTATGACACGATAATAGCTCTTTGTAATCTTATAAATAAAATTCTCGTGTCACAATTTCCGACTCCTCCGAAACGGCTTGACCGATTCTCATGAAATTTTGTGAGCATATTGAATAGGTCTGAGAATCGGCGAACATCTATTTTCAATCCCGCGCGGACGGAGTGGCGGGCGACAGCTAGTACTAGTCTAAAAATGACCAAAATCTCTGTTTAAGACATATCATTCCTGTCATTATCTTTGACAAAACAGAGATAACAATAAGTGTTAAACGAGGATTTTGGTCTCAGAATCATACGCTAATTTACGCTTTATACGATTTCACCAGCTTTCACTTCCAAAGTGGCTACTAATAAGGTATTGTATATTACCACATACATTTAAAGATATGTTGACACGTCTATAATGTAGCCTAGGCACTTTTACTCTATGCTTTATACAACACATTTGTTCTTGCGAATAAATAAAAAATCAACTAGTTTACGCTTTATAATAGTTTATTTTTTATCATTCACATTTTAATAACGTAATAAAGGTACAAAAGGTACAAAAAACCGATGAAAATAATAACGCTGGCATGTCGTGTATGAGTCATTGTTCATGTGATACTTTATAATTTTGTTCCCACTATTGTTCCACGAATAAAGGAGCTACTTATAAAATATAGTTAGGTGTTACTCGGCTAGTTGTATGTACCGTGGGTTTCTGAGACCAAAAGCTCTATAAAACATATTCTCATCTATAATATAAGTAAGATAGAATTAGTTGAATGGTTATAGACCCGGAAGATATTATTTTTATAGCATATCGGTGAAATCTGATCTATGTATTCATGTCTGACCGCGACACAGAATATGAGTAGTCTATTGATACTGTTATTACATTCAACTTCGTCTTAACAAAGGTGTACTTTAAATATTTTTTTAATAAAGCTTTATAAAAATGTTAACAATAAGTTTTATATATAGTAAGATAAAGGAAAGTTAGTCGCAAGGAAAAAGTAAAATAATGTTATGAAAATGATATGGACAGTATTATTTTTGATACCATACGTAAAATATTTAATAACTTTCATATATGCGGACTCTGTGATAAAATAAATTAATTACGGAATACTTTCACAGTTATTCTTAGCATAAATAATGTTCAACAATGACAATATTGAGGATAATATATCTACATTTTTTTTAAGATTAGAAGCTGATTATCTCATCCTCTTATCACACTACCGTGTTCTTTATCTACACATTTTGATTATTTTAAGAACTTCTATCTTATCATTAGCAAATGCATATTATGTGTAAATACTTTTGGAAATACTGCACAAGACAAGGTTAAAAATTTTAGACGAACATTTAACATGAACTACGATAGAAACCACTTAATGCGACATCTTGCAATCTTACAAACAATGCAAAATATAGCTATCGCCCGCAACTCCATCCGCGCAGGAGGATAAATTAAAACTAATGATCAGAAAGATTATTTAAAATGTAATTATTACATAATTGTGTACTCAGAGACGAAATAATTCTGTGTTTAGTACATGTTATCTTTATAGTCTATAACATGTGCTAAATGGTAGGCTTTAAACGCTTTACCAACATTACTCACCACTTGTAACAACTGATAAGCCCATGGAAATAGTTCTGCCAATTAAAGTCTCTTTAGCGCTATCAAGTGTAGGCGGCTACAATGTTATCGGGTAAGTCTTCGACGTCAGCTAATTAAAGCGTAGGTAGGTCATCAATAAACTCTATAAAATTATCGTAGTCTTTCTTAAAGCCGACATTTCTTCTATTTCGTAACGTACAAGAACTTAATATACAGTGTTTTACTGAATACAAATATTCTTGATGTTTTATTGACTACAATATCATTATCTCCCTGATCTCACTTACGTAGGGTTAGCGCACCAGACTTTCGTCTTTCAAATCAATTTCTCTGCCGTCATATCTGTCGTCACCCCCTTAATCGTATCACCTTCACGCAATCCATCTCTCTCTTCCAATCTCTGCCGGTGTACCCTTCCACTCTCATACTTAACGTTCTCCTTGCCACATGCGATTATGTTTTATCGCCTACAGTATTTTTTGTATTATTTTGTTACAGGTGAAAGTGTTCCCAGGCGAGAGTAAATATGAAACATCGTTACAAGAAAGCTCTTGGCCGGTTTGGAACGAAGATTTCAAATTTCAATTGAAACAGCCGCCATCAAAGAAACCGAATGAAAAAGTCGACCTTCAGACACAACTCGCCGGTCATTTTTTGTCGTTAACTATATACGCTATTTTAGAGGCACCGAAACCAGAATCCGAAAAAAGAAGAAGCGCAAAAACTTTAGACACCAAAAAAACTAATAAACTAACTGACGAAGAAGAAACTAAACCTAAGACTGGCTTTCTAGAAAAGACCTTTAGTAGTTTTAAGTCGACGAAAGCAGAGACAGCTCAGAAGTTAATATTGGAGAAACGTAGGACCGTTGGAGCGGCAACGTGGAACTTTGATTCCAAATTGTTCCAGAATGATCTCAAGAATGGATTGATAGGCACGCCTGACGTCTGGAGACCAATCAATGCTATTGCAAGTGGACTTGTTGCTTCTGACTCAAGGGTAATTTTTTTTATTATTTTTTTACTATAAAGAGAGGAAGAGTATAGAAAGGAGACATGGAGCTTAAAATTTCAGTGTTTCATTGCCAGCAATTTTGGTTTTACAGATGCCTAGCTTTTGTCCGCGACTCCGTCTGCGCGGATATAAAAGAAAAACCTAATTCGTAGTCTAATTGTTCTTCCAGACTATGTATGGCAAATTTCATCGAGATCCATTTAGCCGTTCTGAAGATACCTTTAAACAAACATCCAACCCTCCATCCATGCATTTAAACATTCGCATTTATAATATTAGTAAGATCTACTGTTTGTTCGCAGTGATTATAGGCATTTAAAAATTCAGTTGCACAACTATTTTTTATCGCGAGACTTTACGAACTAAGATTCTCGAAATCGGAAGTTAATTCGTTACGATCGTTAACCAACGTTTAATAAGACGTTGTAATTACAGCGTTTTATGTCTGTATCGAATAAGAAATATAATGTGGTTAATTTTGCTTTTTTCTTTTGAAATCCGTTTTATGTAATTGGATATCCTTTATCCCTTCGTGGAAAACCTTTTTTGACCGTTTATCTGCTAACCGATAATTCAATTTAGCTGATCTTTCGCTTCAGAGGATACGAATGGCCAATGCGGTTTTTCGTAACAATTTTATGATAATATTTTTGTAGGTGGAATAGTTTAACACATTTATAGCTTAAAAATAAAGATTAAATTGATGTAATAGATATAATATTGACAAGTTGAGCTAATAAAGTTTATAATCGAGAGGAAAAAAATCCCCAAAACGATAACTTTTGGTATTGTATTTTGAAACAGAACTTCGTTGGTCCAATCTTTATAATAATATAAATGCGAATGTTCAAATGGATTGATGAATGTTTGTTGGAAGGTATAATACTTGACATAGATGTAGAACATAGTGTGGAAGAGTACGTAGGCTACTAAAAAGTTATTTTTTATTATTTTGCGCAGGAGTCGATAGTTAGTTAAATTTATCAAATCTAAAAGTTTATTTATAACTTAAAAACAATTGTTTTCACTTAAATACCATAGATTTATAGATTTCGAATTAGCCAGTTGTGAGGATCACCGATTGTGGAGATCGGTGATCCTCCTGGAGACCTGAGACTTGTTGTACATATGATTCATATCAAAACACGTTAAGTTTTTAATTCTATTAATGATTCCGACAATAGAATAGTTTTGACCTCGACCGCTCCCGGTTAGTATGTAGCCTATTATTAAGATGACGCAACTTTACCTTGACTCGCCTTCTAAATATTTGTATTGAAAATTTTATTTATTATGTAAATCTAATATTTTGGTCCTAGACGATGAGTCAAAATACGTATGAAAAATAAATAAGACGAGTCGTAAATTATACCGACAGACAAAATTAAAAATCTTCCATGTTTATTTTATACTTAAGTAACAGAAAGGAAAATCAAATCTTATTGTGTTACTTAATCTAGGTGTATGTCGTTGTGTCTGGAGTAAAATCACTGGATCACTAACAATTCGTATTACTTTGCTATAACTTTTTAAAAAGATAATCTTCATATCTGCAGATAGGTAATGAATCATTTGGCAAAGTAAATATTGATACGATATATCGGAAGTATTGTCATTCTTTAGACCCGTAATGAAATACATTAAGTAAACTATCTCTCGAATTGTTTAACTTACTGGCTCAGTGATAGTAACCCTTAATTATTCAACTGTTAAACTAAGCTTTTAAAAATATAACATTTGGTATAGTATATTCATAATCGACCACAGAAATTATAAGTTTTTTTTGTATTGTAGTCAAGCCAACTATAATGGAGTGGCTGCTCAAAATCAGAGCTTTATCGCAAGTTGCAAACATAAAACGCCACATTTCATATTAAAGAAGCTGGGGTGCCTTTATGTTTATGATTGATTTCCAGAGGGAGAACAAGAAGGGTCAGTTGGAAGTGACCCTATTGTATGCGGGGAGCGAGGACGGCCTCAATGACACTGTGCAGCTTACAGTGAACCGCCTGCGCTGCAGTGTGCAGACTATGCAGGAACAAGAGCAGTATAAAGGTGAGGATACATTACTCATGTAACAAGATATCTCTTAATATAAAGGTGCCAGAAGACTATAAAGGTCGTCAGCTCGTTACATCGACACCATGAGGCTTAATGTATCGTTCCATTGATTTAGTTTAGTTAACTACTAGCTGTCGTCCGCGACTCCGTTCGCGCGGAGTAAAAAAATAAATAAATTAGTAGCCTATGTGTTCTTCCAGACTATGTTCTACATCTATGCCAAATTTCATCGAGATCCATTCTGCCGTTCTGGAAATTATAATATTTATAATATTAGTAAGATGTAGCTACACAGACTCATCGTGGATTTTAGATCGCACATATTTTTGAATTCTTTCTCAGACATGTGTAGCTTTTTTCACTCTGTTTACCTCAAGACAAGTAATTGTTTACGTGATAATTTTAAAACTAAAAATAGAATCGGATATTACTTCCAACATACAAACGAAACGATCCTTAGAACTTGCGAACAAATTATAATAGCTTTAAATTTAATCTCGGTATATTTAGACATGCAACCTTTTTAATCTGGGAATGTTAATATCCTTGAGTGCTTTGATGTCGACGCTATCAGACTCATTTGATAATAATTAATGTAGCTATTAAAAGTAAAGCCACGTTTCCTTCCGAGTCCCCTATTAGCATAGTTAATGCTTCTTACTTTATACTGAAATTTATATAGACCAAAGTTCTAGACGTTGTAGAAACGTATGAAATTAATCCACACAACTTACTACAGAAAGTTAATAACGTTGATGAATATTGTTTATTGGTATAGTAATTAACGATCTAATGATTAATGAATCAATTGAACTAAATTTAAATATGTATTTCTAAATTAATTCACTGACTGTAACCGTGTATTGATGTCAAACTCTTTATATGTATGTAAGTTCAATATTGTTTATAGTTTGTTTGTTTTTTTTTCTCTAGCACTTTCTTTATTTACGCGAATGTTGTGTTTGCCTGTAATTGAAATATGTCATAGCTTACTCTTTATCATGTAACCTATGTACTAAGTAAAATTGTATGTAACATATTTTGTTGGCATTCCTAAATGTATGGAGCGTCGGTGGCTCAGTGGTCAAGCACTTGACTTGCAATCTGCAGGTCCTGGGTTCGAATCCCGCCATGTACCAATGTGTTTTAGGATTTCCGATTTACATATGTACATTTATCCGACTTTCTTACGGTGAAGGAAAACATCGTGATGCAACCTGCACATATCTTAGAAGTAATTCAAAGATATGTGTGATGTCAACCAACCCGCACTGGGCCAGCGTCGTTGACTATGGCCTAATTACCCTTAACTTAGAGTAGGCTCCGAGCCCCTCGGTGGGGACGTATAGTGAGCTGATGATGATGATAGGTATTATGGGCTTGTTAATAATAAGTAATAACACAACGGTCTTAAAAGTGTATTTCAAAATTTTCTTGATCATAACGATAATAAAAACAAAAACCTTTGGTTGTCAACTTCGAATATGAATGATTATTTCATCGTCTGAAATCGTCTGTAGGATTACCTTAATTCACAAAGATAGGTCCGAATTATCTGCTAATACAAGTAGTTTTACGTTTTAGGTTACTTATTAGCTCATTTTTCAGTTATTATAATAAAGTAGCTGTCGCCCGTGACTCCGTCCGCGTGGATATATAAAAAAACTTAATTAGTGTAGTCCATCCATCCACATCACATCCATCTAAACATTCGCATTTATAATATTAGTAAGTTAAATAAAGAGCATTTCTTCAAGGTATAAATTAACAAAAATGAATAAATACTATCCTATGTCCGTCTCCGTGCTCTAAGCTAATTCCTTACCAATTTTCAGCCATATCAGTAAAGCCGTTCTTGAGTTATAAATAGTGTAACTAACACGACTTTCTTTTATATATAGATAAGTGAATTAAAAATATAATTTGTATTACCGCAATCATTTATCGATTTATATAAATAAAGTATTTTTTTATAGTCGTCTGTCTGGAAGTTTATTTGTACGGATGTATGTACAATTGATTCCCTGTTGGCTTTTTATGTTTTGCTATTGTTTGTTTTTAATAAATAAATACATTGTGATAGAATATCCAAGGAGGTAAATGATAATGAGATTCGAGACGCATTTGTAATGTTGATTGTAATTTTATTGTCTTCTTGTTCATGTTAACGCTTTTGTATTTAGATTTTATTTGTTTGTTTTTTTATATTAAAAATTTCATTTATAATTGGTTGGTAATTATGGGTATAGAAATAATAAACCTTATCGTGGTCTTCCACTGTTGAATATCAGTGTAAACGCATACTGTATGGAAAATAGGTTTTTGCATGAATTTCGTTATTTTACGTACGGTTATGTTGTACGATTTTTGACTATTGTGCAAACATTTTACAAACCCTTTCTACTACATATTTGTGAGTCAATGAACTATACTTATTTCGTCTCGCAGTTTCGAAGTTTATTACAATATGCTTATTACGACGGTCTAAAAAAATGCAAACATATTTCTCGAATTATTCTTTTAAAGTTAAAATTTTCAAAGCTAGAGCGAGAGTTAGAGTTTAGTTTGCGTGTCAATACCAACCCAAATAACTAAATAATTAATCTGTGATTCGGAACGTGATATTGTAAGTTTACATAATGATAAATCATACATATTCCCGTGACAGAGCGACGTTAATCAGAACAATGTAAACTAAATTGTTATATTATTTGTGATGTATCAGATAATATCTGTGAATAATGTATTTAGATTTAACAGTGGTAGAGCCCGCTTTAACATCTTCGCACGTATTGGCCCGGCTCGCCCGGTGAAATATATACCCGGTGTAACCACGACCACACAGAAGACAGGCGTCAAGTGGAAGCAATTCCGCGTTTCGTCTGATGAGTGTGCGTCCCGGAGGCCTAATTTAGTCCACTTTCACTTCCCACTCTTTTTCTTATAAGGAAGGGATGGGAAGTGGAAGTGGACTTTCCGGATGAGTGGATGCATGGGAAGAGAAAATATTTTCTTTCTTTGCATCCTCTCCTCCGTCGATCAAAAGGTAGGCAACGCATATGCAATTGCGTATGTCTATGGGCAACGGTCACTTCGCTATTTCAGCGATTTCAGGTGGCCGCACGCTCGTTTGCCACCTTATAATATAAAAAAAAACTGCCATTATAACGGAATAGCTGGGAATGAAAATCCGTCATCTCTATTTATCTCTCGATTCCAGGCAAAAGATTTCTTATTTCGTTCTATACATTCTTGCGATATTTTCACTAATTTATTGAGTGTTATGTTTATCAAACGCATGTAATATAAGAGTCAATTACCCAATTACTTGGCCATGGCGTTCGGTTAACATCAGTATGATAATTGACCAGGGGACGTTCAGACGCGGGCGACATTGCGCAACGCTTATTAACTAGGAGAGAGCTCGCGGGTCCCCTCTGCCCTGAATCATAAATACCAAGCTAACTGTCCGCCGCCGTGCGCGCCACCTGTCGACTACATAAATGGAATAGAGTTTTCAATTGAATATATGTTTAGGTCATATATTCATTGTAATACTAGGAATTATGTTTTGGAGATGCACGGTATAAAATTCTCTAAAGTATTATAATGAAATTAAAGCATATAGAGTTAGGAAACAATTTGTATTTCAAGTGTAATATTTTCAATCAAGCTTAAGTTAGGGTATGTCCCTTTGGTGGATATTTATATGAGCTGACGACATTCAAAATTATTTTGCACTTGTTTATGAAAAAATAAATAGTGTCATTGTTTTTTTTTAATCAATAATTTTTTATTTATTTATTCGTATACTTTGCGTTACTTATTCTATACGATGTCACTAAGTTATTATGAACTTTCTTTTTCCAGCACCGTTGTATTTGAAAGCGACGATATTGGAAGCGAACAAAGCGGAGTGCTATTGGAAGAGCGATAGATTCATGCCAACCATATCCGCCAGATGGGACCCCAAATCTGCTACAGTGAAATTGACAGTGTTCAAAGCGAATTTGAACAAAGTCAGCATTTACGTAAGTCTCGGATGCAAGACTAAAATGGCGAAAAAGGAAATATTAGGTAAAGCTACGATCGACGAAAAGTCTAGATACGCTGACAGCTGGAAGGAATGTCTGCGGCAACCTGGCATCCCTAAAGCGTTTTGGATTAATTTTGAATAAATTAAAAACTTTTTAAATTGCACCCGCGCAATTTTATAAAACCAAATCCTTACTCAGTATCTTTGTTTAATTGATACAATTAAAAAAAAAAACATAATTAGTAGTCTATGTGTTCTTCTAGACTATGTTCTATATGTATGCCAAATATCATCGAGAGCCGTTCAGCCTTTCTGGAGATATCTTCAAACAAACATCCATCCATCCAAACATTCGCATTTATAATATTAGTAAGATTTGGTGAATGGGGAATGTTAAATCTAACCATTATTAAAAGTGTGAAAAACTGTAAATACTTAAAGCATTAGAGTTAAATGTACTATTTTGGAATCCAGTATATGACACATGTTTCTGTAAGTTTTCTCTATCGAAACATCGTATAAAACATGTTGAGATGGCTTTTATTCTTTTTGAGAGAGACAAAAATAGTTTTGTATGTATAACGGCGGTGTTACGGTTGGCTTTTTCGTATAAACTAATTTTTTCTACATATCTAGTACTTATTTACATAATGACAATATATTTTTTGACTATTACCAATGCTTATATTAAAATGTATGTGATTAATGTTGTGTCTTACGTAATTTTAGAATCTATTTATTCAGCACAAAACTGTATATCCAGTAAAATATATAATGTAAATATTAAATATATGTTATAAGAAACTATATTATGACAAATTTTATATTGTTGCACGGAAATTAAACATTTTGTACTAAAAATGTTTTTATTCTTTTAAATCCTATTTAATTCTAAATAAAATAGTACGTCGAAAGAATATTTTGGTTATCACTACTGCAGTGGAAATAATTCTCCAGTTTTAGCCTTTTTAGAATAGCGAATTAGCCTCGTAATGTTTTTTTAGTGGAAAAAAGGTTTTAAATCACTTGAATATCTATGCCTGGGGCTTTATATTGTCTGGGTTATCGCCGCCTTCCATTGTTATCTTCATGCAATTTAAAGTATGAATAAAAAATTAAACTAATGATATATTTTAATTTATTTAAAATGTATAATAAGTATGGAACAGTGTCAAACTTGTACTGAGAGTGCAACGAGATAGTGTCTTTGTAATAGCCATGTGCCACAGATAACATGACTACACTGCGGGCAACCGACACGATGCTGCAATTTACCCCTTCGTTCATACGAAATGCTCGGTTCATTCATTATTTATGTCATTTAAAACCCAGGTATTTTTGAAACTACAACTGTTATTTTAACAACGACAAACAATGCGATTTGTTATGTGTGAGGTAGTAAATAAACGTAAAGTCTAAACTTTAGGAATTTAGATGTTAAATTGTACATGAAGTTGTACAATTATACTTTAATTTTCTTTGTAATAGAAGCAATAATCATAATATGGTCAATATATGGTACCTGTCTATAACTGGTATCAAATGTTTTTTCGTGAATATTTGCTATTATATTTAAAAAGGCGTTGAAACCGTGCATCTTAAAAAAGATGCTATAATAAAGTCCTTATGAATCAAGTCTTGTCATTCTCATGTTATCCGTGTTTAATTATTATGTCTGTGGAAGTGTTGTTAATACTCTATTAAAGGTGAATGAAATATTCCAATATATCACTAAAATTTATCTAATTAAAACACTTCACTGCCTTCTATGACAATTTTGCGCATTTGTTCTTGAGTAGCTGTTGCTTGCAACTCCGTCTGTGCGGATTTTGTTGAAAGCAGACAACGCATCTGCAAATGGAGGTGCCGGTGGACACCGGTCGCTTCGCGAAAATAGCTGTCATCTTGTTCGTTAGCTACCATTTACTATAAAACTAACAATCCTCCTAATAACATTTTAAAAACTCTAAATTGAGGGGTTAATGATTTGATTGAGTCAATCATTTTAATTTACCGGTGCCTCACATTTAAGACATTTTTATTCAACGTGCAAAAGTCTTGGCTTTAAGTAATAAATAAGTATGATGTCAATAACTTATTATTGGAATATCATAGATTTAATAACTAAATTGAAGTTAAGTTTAATGCCTTCTTTGATATCTCAATAATTGATAACCGGTTTTATTTTGTTTAATTGGTAGAGATTTATTAGGAACTAAAGAAATTGTATATTTCATGTTTATTGCTTAATTATACTTTTATCGCCTACGATTTTCTCACGGTTAATGAAGAACTGAGAATAAGAAATATCACTGACAGATAGAAGTCTTGTTTTATATACAAAGAAATTAAATAAATAAACTCTGACTTGTAGACAGATAAAATAAATATGGGTGAAATGTTTCGTATCAATGTGAAGTAATAAGTAAAACATCTAAATCGTTTCAATACAAACATAAACGTTAATTCGTAATAGTCTGAGCAGACGGGACCTTGAACTCGGTTCATGTTCATTGCCGATTGCTAACGATTCGTTAGGGATATAGATATTTCTATTTTCATTATTGCCAAGTAATTGATACGTAATTAAAATTTACTATAGTTCATTGACAATTCGTCATACGATCACACATCACCAAATTTGGTTAAGTTAAAAAAGAAGTTTGGGGATCTGTGAGATCCTTTTTCTCCCAAAAAAATTATAAGATTACCAGCTGTCGCCCGTGACACCGTCTGCGCCGAATTAAAAAAACCTAATAAGTAGTTATTCCAGACTATATTCTCTATGTGTGCCAAATTTCATCAAAATACGTTGAGCCGTTCCGGAGATACCTTCAAACAAAGATCCATCCATCCATCCATCCAAACATTTGCATTTATAATATTAGTAAGATGATTTTGGCGAACCTCCTGCTACTATATGTCTTCACGTCATCCTGTCTACGGTACGGTAAAAATTAATTTGGGCGCGAACTGATGCCACACACTGTCTTCGAGTTATCGCTAGTCACCGTGTGTGTATCTCGGAACCGAAGCTGTTTAAATATGTAATAACTACGGTCAATGAACTTCTCCTTATCATTTCCCGTGTTGAAACAATTAAAAAAAGGTAACATTGGGTTATATGTAGATGAACTAGAGATAAAAATGAACCCAAATTAGTGTATTTAAAACGCTTCTTAATTCAGATTAAATAAATTAATTTTGATTACCAAGAAAAAGTTTTAATAAATAATTATTAAATTAAAATATATTTTGTCAAGCGCCTTTTAAATCATAATTATGACTTAACTATTTTATCTAATGTTGTGTTGAAAGGGTACTTAAAGTGGCAGATTCGTTCTATTTTATTGTCTATAGATAAAATATAATTTATCTATACACTTACGCTAGCATTAACCTAGTTTTCATTTTTATTATTTAACATCATATCATACGATTGTGATTTAGCGTTTTTTTCTTACGCTACCGTCTCGATGTGTGTGGAATAGAATATTTGGGATAAACGGAAAGCTAGTCGTGCGCTTGCGACGGTACAGCGAGCTAGTTCGGTTTCGCTCTACTAGCAGACATGTTGCCTCTTTGAATCTACGAAGTAATCAATCGATTTATATTTTTTTAATTAATTTATCTAACACGGACGTTTATCTATGGTAAGTTTTTTTTATTTTTGTATTTATGGCATGCTTTTAATGTTGTAGTGAATTTATTCTTGTTTTGATGCACTTTCATGTTGCAAAACCGGAAGGGATTATGACGCCCTTTCACTGCATTTATTTTTGTATATTGCGGTAGTTGTTTATTTAGTTAAACTTACTCATGAAAATATATAAATATGGCTCTTTCAATGTACACCTTTATATTGGTTTTCTAATTTTCGATGTTGAGTTTTTCGTTTTATGATGAATTAAAAAAGTTTAATTAAGAGAAATTAAATTCGTCTTATTTACGATTATCATTACTTTTTTAATGTATAAAATGGCTTCAAAACGGACAGTTTTTTATAAAGACAATGATTACACGCTAGGGTAAAAGCAATACTTTGATCATACTACTAGACACCTTGCACTTGAAACGTTGCTCTTCAACACATTGGATGGTTGCCAACTGTTACATTGAACCAAAACTGTATTTCATAATAAAACTTAATAGAAAGCAGAAAGGTGTAAAAAGATTTACCAGTTCATTCACATATGTCAAATATATTTTTATTAATAAATGGCGGAAAATTATCAAGGCACTAGCTGTCGCCCGTGACTCCATCCACGCGGAATTCAAAAATGTTATCAATGTGTTCTTCCAGACTATGTTCTACATGTGTGCCAAATTTCATCGAAATCCGTTTTGCGGTTCCGGAAGTACCTTCAACCAAACATCCATTCATCTAAACATTAACATTTATATTATAATAGTAAGATTGATTGTTTGAATATATTATATATATTGAATATATTTTCAATTTGTTCTTAGTTTTCTATTACTAAAACACACGTATACATTCTTTTTGTAAATTTTCTCGTCTAGAACTAAAAAAACAAACTAGAAACCAATACGATCTTAAACAGTTTTTTGACATGATAAATGGTAATGTTCAAATATTTGAAATGTACTATAGTAAATTATTTCAATTAAATATCATAAAAGTCATATTTAATTAGTTTAAGCGAAGTCGCGTTTTAGTATATGTGTGAACAAAATAGTTCATGAGAACAGATTTAATTAAGAAGCGGTAATAGTTTAGGAAGTTAAGTTATTATGGCTTCGAATTATTCGCAACTTGAAACTTTAATTTGAAATATTTTAGAAATTAAATTGAGTACTAGATATTATATATCCTAGGGGTATTAACAATAACAAATGAACATCTCACAAAATTTATCGTATAAAAATACTATCAGCAATTGTTTTATTTTTAGATCTATCATAGAACTTAAATAGGAACGTATGTTTGATTACTGGCATTCGATTCCCTGCTTGCACCGTTATTGTGAATAATAAATAAATTACAGGCGACATCTGTTGCATAAATTCGCTGGCTTGTAAGGGATATTCCCACGACCTATCTGACTATTAATTTGTAAAAAGAGATACTTTCCACTTCTATTTTTTGATATATAACGGTGGTTTTCACTGTCCAAACAATTGTATAAAACATATATGTATCCCACTCTATCTTTACGAGAAGACTGAGACAAATATATATTAAATACAGATAACATGGGGACTGATGTTCTAAATTTCTTCCCTTTCTTCACCACTGTTTCCACTATCATATCAACTTTTTTGATATCCTCTGAATATCATTTTACATATATTATAAATACAAATGTTTGGATGGATGAGTGGATATTTGTTAGAAGGTATCTTCAGAACAGCTGAATAGATCCTGCTGAAATTGGGCATAGATATACATCTATGGCCAATATGTTATACAACATAGCCTATTAGTTTTTTTATTCCGCGCGGACGGAGTCGCGGGAGACAACTAGTTAACTTATAAAAACATCACATGAATGCATCATAAATTTTGCATTAAAAGTTTTTTATTTTATTCGTATTCTTTTATAGTTGACCGCATGATTAGCACGAGAATTTTAACTACTCCCACGACCTAATTACATTAATTTACACTCGCAGATGTAGCTAATTTTTGTAAAAAAAAAGAAAAGCGAATGGTATTCGAAACATGCCAATGATAAAAAGACAAAAAATTACCTTTCGCTGTGTTTGTTTGCCTATAATTAAGAAATTGAATATATTCATCATCATGGTTATATTACCTTTTTTCATTCCACTAGTTGTCGAACGTGACTCCATTCGCGCGGATTTAAAAAAAAAAATTAATGAGTAGCCTATTCCAGACTAACTTCTACATCTATGACAAATTTCATTAAGATCCGTTGAGCATAAACAGACAGAGACATTGGAAGAAAGAGAAATACAAATTTATGATGAATCTGGGTGTATGAATATTAATTAAATTCCGAGCAACTAAAACTGAGTGGTTGATATAAATGCAACCCCAAAAACCGTACAAAATGTAATAAACTTGTAATGACTTGAGGCGAAGCAGTAATCTGGGATTATAAAGTTTAAATTTTGACTAATCTTTGCGATTGCAAACTTTATATTTGGCTAATACAACTTTATTTGAAGGGACGTGAAACTTGTTTGAATTAAGAAAAGTTCTCTCTTGTGCAAGTCACGTTTTAGAATATTTCATGGTAAATGACAGCGCAGAAATGCCAGTATCACAAGAGAACAGTGACACAGAGCAGTAGAGTGTGCAGTACTGCTATTTGTATTAATGCATGCACGAAAGAACAATACTTTTGTGTTAGATTTTAAACAATTGCAGTACGGCAGTGTTTATTATTCTATATCACTTTTTTGCCCTTATGAGAAAGCTGTAATTTACGGAGATGATATAATACATTTCATGCTTAATGAAAAAGAAAGAAAAAATATTCAAACTCTTTGGAGAAATTAGAGTACACGGTGATAACACAAATACCATACGTATGATAGTACTAACACTGGATAATAAACGAGAATTAGTGTTTGTACGGTCTAGATGTTCTTAATGCTAGGTTAATTTCATATTTAGAACAATCAACAATCATTTGCTGCTAAAACGTAACTTAATATGCTTACACAAACGAACGTTTATAATTGCAGAAGTATGGAGCTGGGTAATTGCACAAACATTAGTTACTAGTTTGACTCTGAGTATTTCTATGCGTTTTCAACTTTTAAAGTCTTTGCTTGGTATATCTTTATAATATTATAAATGCTAAATGGATCGAAGGATGTATGTTTGAAGGTACCTCCAGAACGACTGCATGGATCACGCTGAAATTTGGCATAGATTACAACAGCCCGGAAGAGCACATAGGCTACTAATTAAGATTTTTTTTAATTCTGCGTAAACAGAGTTGCGGGCGAAATTTAGTATTTGATAAAAATTGCAATTAGCCCCCAGCGTTGAAACCAACTGTACCACTTTATCAACTTTATACAGTTATAGATTTAGAAAATATCTTCAAACAGTAAATGGTGTAAGTTCAATAGTCTTAATAATAAATTTATTCTCATAAAGACTTGGCATAATTCCAATTTCATCGATTATTTAATGTGAAAATATCTTATTAATGGGATTGTAAAAGTATCAAAATAATTAATTTAACACGTGGTATTGCCAAATAACGTTAGATTTGATTTTTATTATAATATTAATGATGGTTAAACATAGACAAGAATGATATATATTTGTCTATGACCTTCCAATGGGTGATATCACTGTGTTTGGGGTGGAATGTATAGGTATGATAAAATAATTAAAAAACAAAAAAGGGGATGTAAGGACGGAATTTATTGTAAAAGAAAAGCCTAAGAACACAAGAAAAGTGTTGCCAGGATATTCTACAATTGACAGTATTGCCAGTAACTGCCGCAAAATTAACATTATATATTGGTTCCGTTATCTGATTGAATAATAATTGAATTTTTTTGTTTGCTCTATTTTTTATCTCAACACGCTTTTAAAAACAAAACTGCTCAAGTTTAATTAATTAAATCAAATCGTACTAAAGATGTGGCTTCATACAAGCTAACATTCATTTTACAAAACTAACAAAATACGTTATCAACTTTAAAATTTGTCTTTAATAATCGTACGGTCCGTCGTCAAACTTTAATTCTATTAAGGGTTAAAGGGTTTTGCATGTCTTTGTGACATAAAAATATTAATCCTGGAAATAATATATCTTGACATGATTTTCATTTTTCGTTCATAGCTTTAGCTTAAAAATATAAAGGATATTGACAAAAAAATACTAAAGCGAGGGTGCAAGTGACTGATATAAGCCATTCGCCAGGCTTATATTAAAACAGGCGAATACTTTTCAACGAGAGCTTTTTCATAACAAAATTCCCACATTGTTTGTTTCTTTTGCAGAGCGCTCGGAAAAAAAATAACAACTTTGTAAACCCGACAGTTGGGAACTGGTGGCAATTTGTCATGATTAAAGAATTATCTCAGTTCAACTATGATATAAATTTATAAGATTCTTTTCAAGTATATATTGAACGACACAAAGCTTATTTAACATTTATCGTCAACTAGCTGACACCCGCAACTTTTTGCGCACGGTATTAAAAATGCTTAATCAGTAGCCTACGTGTTCTTCTAGACTATGTTCTGCAGCTATGCGAGATCCATACAGCCGTTCTGAAGATACCTTCTAACAAACATCCATCCACCCATCCGACGAAACATCAAACATTCGCATGTATGTTAGTAAGATTAAAATAGTTTTCAAGTCTACAGCTCAAGCTTTCCGGAATTGACTCAGAAACTACTTTACCTATTTTAATGAAGAAAATTCTTAATTATGTGTGTAATTCAACTTACAAGATTAGTTACTATAGATTTTGATTTTATAGTGGTTAGTAGTAGCGCTTAACTAGTATTAATATAAAAATCTCACTCGAAATATAAAACTTGTTACTACGGCTAAACGTTACAGATTTAAAAATAACCATCCAACAGAAATTTCGTTCTTCATGCTTTATTATACGCTAAAGTCTAAATAATGGGCTCCGAAGAAACAACGCACGTTATTAATAACTACAAACTTTAAATAATAAACGTTGTCTTATATATTGTGTTATTTAAAAAAATGGCTATTTTTAATTGGAATACAGAAATGTATAATATTAAAATTATGGTCAATTCTTTGGTGTGAATGTTTTTATTTTTGTCTAGAATCTAAAAGTTTCATTGGTCTGATTGCTTAGTTTCCAATTTGCGGCTAGCCATGACTGATCGCGTATGGTCGTCACGTACTTAATAATATAAATTTGAAAATAACGCTGTCCGCCTGTTGCGTGTTCACGCAAAAAAAAAAACAAAATGGATATAATATGATTCCATACAAAAAGTCGTGCGTCCGATCGCTTGGTGGAAATTGGATCTAACTCTATCTTTGCTACATTGACGCATTTTTTATTTAATAAGTTGGCTAATTTAGAATCATTTATGGTGATCTCATCTTGGTTAATTGTAATGTCATAAAGTTTTTTTTTACATTTTCATTTAATTCGCACTTATTGTAATCGTAGATGTTAATTGATTTATGTGTGATAGATTGCAGGAGTGAGCGGACGATGATTCTACACAAGGCCACAAATTTCGTATACGAGCGGTGATGCGTAAATTTACGATTGTACCCAACCGTCCGAGACTCGTTTTATTACATGTCGCATGCAAATAGGCTCACCATAATTTTTGTGCAATAAATTAGGATATTTTGATTAAAATTAACTTGATTTAAACGACTGAGTTAAGAGTTTAATAGTCGCCAACATGTATGGTTTCTCTGGTATTGCTGATGTCAGGTGGCGGATCAGCTAACACTAGGAGTTTTGTAGCTCTTTTGCCAACTTCTCCTTGTAGAAAAACATTGACTGTCACTCTTATAGTCTTGTGGTACTGTCAGTTGGTAACTACTTTTCTTAATGCTAACCTTTACAATGGAAAACCTGCATTAATTGAATGTCTCAGCGTGCGAAGTTAAAGGGATTATTTAATGCAAGCAACATTTATCGACTTTGTATAAATCAGCTTGTATTATGACAGCAGTGTATTAAAATGGAAATTATTAATTGATTGACACAATTAAATCATGTTATTTTTTATTTATTTTATTTTTTTAAGTAGATAAGAAAATAATAGGAACGTCTTATAGAAAAAAGAACTATAATTTACATTTACTTTTGTGAACAAGTAAGCTCGGAAGAACTCTTTGTATTAAAAACCAGAACACTCAAAAAAAGAAACTATTTTAATTAAAATCTTACATGCATGTATTTTCGCAATCAACGTTCTCTAAAAAGTCAAAACATGCCAAATAATTATGATATGTATTTTTAAGAAACGTTTTATTTTAAATAATATTTCTGTCGTTAAAAATGGTCTTGAAGAATTTGTTCAGAATGTACTACAAATGAGAAAAGTATGGTAACACTACACAAGCGTCCAACTGATTTTCGATAGTCCCGTGATTTACTGATATCTTTTGGGATCTATGTTTACAAATGGCTGTAGGAGTAAAGAATTGTAAGGATTATTTTAATTTTGTGCCTTTGGTGTCTTCATTTTTGTATACCGAGGGCGGCACACATTTTCGTGTCGTTTTAATGAGAGTGTTTCACGAAATATAATGATATATAATATCTTTTATATCTCTTCATCATTATCTTTGACAACCTCCCTTGTATGTTCCTTTTAATGTTATGTTTCTGATATTACGATATGATCTCAGGACAAGGATATTTAATAGCTCTGTCGAAATAAAAATCTTTTCCATCTTTCTTTTCAGTCTGTACTTATTTATAAATAAACTATTAGTTATTTACATTATTACTATTAAAAATAAATGAACAGTAGTAAAACAAAACTGTACCGCGTTACGTAACTTATGATAAAGTTAAAAATAATATAGATATTTTTACTTTATGTGCATTTACTACTGGGTTTATTCATTATAAAGATATAAATTATATCTGCCGCTATAAAGTATGGCTTTCATCAGCCTGTTTGATATTCAAAAGCGGCGTAATCTCAACGAAAACCAGCCCCTTGTTTCGATGAATATAAACATTGTACCAGAAACAAATGCGTCCGTTATTTTTGAGTAATTATAGCTTTTCGTTTTATCGAGTTGTTAATTTCGGAGTTTACTATAAGCAAACATTTTTCTAACATTATCTCGTTTGAAACCGAAATACAATCAAATATAGTACATGTAAGTTTTCCTTTTTTATTTTTTTATTGTATTGTTCATCCCATTTTAATTATATTTGAGTGAAACTGAAACATTATAAAAAATGTTTTGTCCTTGTTCCTATGTTCTACGGTTAATAACGCATCAAAAAAATTAGGACATATTTTCTACTGTCTGCTTCATCGTACGAACGATGCAATAAAAAATCTATTGCCATCAACGACTGAATTGCTTTCAGGTTCATTGATAGTTCCAAATCATGTGCTTAGATATTAAACTTATCTACATGTCCTATCTTTGCATTGGTTTTGACACAATCAGATTTTATTCATGTCACATTCATCTCTAGCTATAGTATATCTATATATATAGATATATATAGATATAATTATTGCTGTTAATTTGATTAAAATATGTCAACATACAAAATAAGTTTCAAGCTTCTACCTGTAAAAATTACCATACTTCCATATTTCCAACTCTTTAAAACCCCTTTTCGCGTCGTTTCTCAGGCTCTACACTATATGTGTACCAAATTTAATTTAAATCGGTCCAGTGCCTTTTCCGTGAAAGAAGGACAAGCAGACAGACAGGGTTACTTTCGCATTTGTAATATTAGTTAGGAAGTAAGGTTTAACTTTTTTGTTAATTTCACGCAGATCGAGTCACGTTCTTTCGAACTTATGTTACTTTCTTTTTGATCAAAATAAAAACACTGGCAGTTGTAAGCGTATTGATAAAGCCTTTAGTAAAGTTAGTGGTTGAGATTGTATAGTTCCATCAAATACGAAGAAGTCGACAAATCCAATAACATAAAATGAAAAGAGAATAAATCTGTTTATATTATTCTAAACATCTAGATATTCTTTGTCTTGTATATCCGACGTGTTTTATTAGAAAATTACGTACAAAATTCGATACTAAGAACCCTTTTGGGACTCATAATATGTAGTTCTGTTTATATTGACCTTGAGATCTTATGTGACGTTATGTCTCAGCATAGTAAGAAATTTTATTAAACAGTACCGACAAAATAATAAATTCACAAAGAATTTCTTTGTCTTCTTGAAAGAAAGAATACTTTAATAAATTAATATTAAAATTTCAATATGTTGTATGGAAAATATTTACGTAAACTTTATTGCTACGTTAATTTGCTTTATTGTGTTGGTATTCACAGAAATGAAACTTAAGTGAAGAATTCTCGTGGGTATGCAACTGATGAGTATTGTGGTTAACATTTATGTTATGGGTTTTAATTAACGTGGTACTTGTTTTGAGACATATTGTTGTTTCTGTATTTTTAAAGGTAATGGAAAGAGATGACAATATGTTTTATGTGTGTTGGTGGAGCTCAGTGGTAATGTTTTTGCTACTAGCATTCCAGTTTAAAAGACAGTTGCCGTGCTGCGATCTACAAAAACATCGTTATCTTGCTTTACTCAATGAGTATGACAATATGTTTTGTACGTTTTTTGACAGTGGAAATTCATTTTTGTAATTACGTATTCGATTGAAGTGTTACTTGGTTACTTTATTAAATTAATTATTTACTTAATTCAATTACGCTTCGTATTTCACGATCCTACGAAGTGTGAATAAATAAATAAACAGGGTTTAGTTAAGTAATTCGGCGGTAGAATCGTTTTAAATAGATTATCCTTTTTCGAGCGGTTTTCTTGTGAAGGGTTTGCCTTGTAAATTATAATGAGATTAGTCAGTGATTTCTGATAGAGTTAAACGAAGCGTGTTTAAAAATTTCAATGTCACTTGATAATTTGATGCGAACAATATAAGTATAGTAACTTTACGCATAAAATGATTGTTTAAAAATAATTATAGAAATAAAATAAGCAATTATACTTTATACTAATATTATAAATGCGAATATTTAGATGGAAGGATGTTTGTTTGAAGGTATCTCCGGAACAGCTCAACGGATCTTGATGAACGATGACAGAGTCGCGGGCGATACTACTTAAATAATTTATAAATTAAATATGCGAGTTATGATTAAAATGATTTGTTAAAATGAAGTCGATCTCATGTTACCAGCCTCATAAGGAACTGTGCTACATTATTTTATCACGTGCTGTTCCATTTAAGATGCAAACAAGTATACAAAATTGAAGACAGACAGGATCATATAGTTACCATATATAACGCACTAGCTGTGAGATTGCATTTAATCTTTTTTGAGAAAGTACTTTATACGACTGGTTGTAACTGTTTGTTATGAATAAAATTCGTATTGTTCACAGGTAACCATTCAATAAAATAGAACAATCTGGAACTTTAATGGCATCGTAGCATTTATGTTACATTTTACAGGACACTTATGGTAAGTATAACTGTGTACTTGACCTATATATCCATATATTACAACATACTATTAAGGTAATTCGTCAACAATTACGACCTTTACAAGGAGTGTGCTCACCTGGATCACAATAAGAGTAACTTCCAATTTGAATCTTATCACAATTGAATAGAGCGCAATTACGTAAAATAGTAGACCTTACCTTTAACGTATAAGGTGTTAACCAAGTGAGATTCTGTCAGAGGACACTAATTGTATTGTTCTTGACTGTCTCAGATATGTTAGAGTAGGTCGCTGTGGTTTATATGAACAGACGCATAGGCTTCGCAAGGCTATATAGCCTTAACATTAAATTGTTGTTACCAAATGATATTATAAAGAGCACTCGAAACCTACTTTTTTTAAATCATAAGGTGGCAAACGAGCGAATTCGAATGACGGGATTTAAACTTATTACCACCTGGTCGGGTGTCGATACCCTTAACCATAAGGTGTATACACTATATTAAAGTGTGTTGTTTCTTCTGCAGATGCCGAAATTTGACAATTGTATGTTACATCGGAGCGATGAATATGATGTGGCAATATCAGTTACTACTCTGTCTTATCTTAGCTATAAAAACAAATGGATCGTACAAAGTTAGTAGCATTGCTTCATTTTTTTTATCAGACATTGTCCTCTATACTAATTCGGTAATGATTGTTACAATGTTTTGATAAATGCAATGATTAATTGTAGTAATAATTACTTTAATTGTTTTTTACCTATACTGAACTGTGTAACTTATATAATACTAGCTGTTACCCGCACTCCGTCCGCGCGGAATTAAAAAAAAACATAACATAATATGTATGCCAAATTTCATCGAGATCCTTTCAGCCGTTCTGGAGTAACCTTCAAACAAACATCCAGCCATCTATGCATCCATCTAAACATTCGCATTTATAATATTCGTAAGAAGTAAGATTAGTAGATAGATATAAATGTATATTTTAACAAACCAATTAAAAATTAGAGTTAATTACTAATTTGAGCATTTATTTTTAATCTTTATTTTGTAGCAATAAGTAATTGTTAATTAACGGAAAATGTACAAAATGAAATTAATAAAGATTTTAGTGCATTGATTCGGATGGTATTTATACAAGTTTTAAAGTGAATAGTTATTAAATTTTGACGGTATTGGGATTCTCATAATATTCAAGTCTTTGCAATTGCATTAAACGATGCATTTTGAGAATACAATAGCCGTTTGGCGTAGAGCCAAATTAAAATATTTCTTTATTGACCAATAAAGTCGAATTGGCCGATTGTATGTTAAATGCATTGTAAAGGTTTGACCCAGTTAGGAAAATGACCACTATGAAGAAGCGATTGTGTATTTTTATATTTGAACTATTGTAAAGTATTGTTACAATTTCAGATTGATTTCGAACAATCGACAAAAACTGTTATTTTGGACGATATCAGTGAAAATTTCAATGGAAAGTTGCAATTGAATGATTTTGGTAATAATAGAGGTGAGTAATGTAAATACAATGTTTAACTTTATGGGTATACTAGCAACCACCCGCGACTCCGTCCTCGTGGAATTAAAAAAAAACATAATTTGTATGTGTTCTTCCAGACTTTCTTCGAAATCTGTTGATCCGTCCTGGAGATATCTTCAAACAAACATCCATCCATCCATCTAAACATTCGCATTTATAATATTAGTAAGATTTAAAAAAGTTATTTCAAATCGATTTTAATGAATCAAAAGATTACAACTTCTTTGGCATAATTTTTCTTTGTATGCTTTTTAAAATCAAACTACAATTAAACGCATATAAAGTACAACAACAGTACGTCAACTTAAGTGTTAGTTATAAATAATTGCTTTAGGTACAAAAAAGTTGCCTGCATACTCGTCATGGTCATCCTGGAGTGAATGCCAAGGCGGTCATAGGACCAGGCGGCGTCACTGTTTAAGACGGGAAGTATGCGGCGATTCGCTGCGGGTTGAAGTCGCCAGGTATTGTTGATTTCACAGTTAAGCAGAGTAGTAAGATAGTGCAGTACTACAATTGTTTGGATAAAAAAATAGTATCAAAATATTCCTGCTTTACTTCAAGATTGCTACCATGTTAGATGGACTTATGACCAGATGACTACCGCAACTAGAGCGTTTGTTCATCTCACGGATATCTAATGAATAATGCACACTTCGTTGTTAAATAATGTAAAGAATAACTTTAATATATATCTTGTGATCAATTTGTGATTATCAATTTAATTGTGATACATATCTCGGTTTATAAAGCGTCGACACAATGTTAGTAAACATATCATATGCGAGTAATGTACTTGAATCGTCGAACTAAGTCTGTTTATCTTCAGATGCAGTACTGCAAGAGATGTACAGAACTTTGCTACAAAAAATGAAATAGATTTTATAGCTACGAAGAAACCATCTGTTCAAATTAGAATGGTAAATGATTTTTTCTATTTTAATAAAAATAATCTGTATTATTAGGTGCGCAATTAAGTTCTCGCTTTTTTTTCGATAAAAATATAACTTTATTATTAAAAAATGGTTACAAATGAATCATTCAAAGTATTGCCCATCGCTAGACACAAATTTTTTCCATCTAATATATGTAAAGAAATCACAATACTGCGGCAATCAAAATCGGTGATATTTTGATGAACCTGTAACTATATATTAAGATCCTTATCACGAATCCAAACGAAGAAAGATGTGTTTGGAAAAAAAGCCACATAAAAGATCTTTTATGCTCAATCATGATTCTGTTCTGAATTGTTTACATCATAATAAATCATCCGCAAGCCCTTCCCTGTAACTTAGCTTTACCATTGTCGGAATATTTGTCTTTTTAAGGAAAAAATGTTTTCGTTCCAACACTTTGGTGTTATTGTTAAATTTATTTCAAATTTAAATTGAGATATTTTTGTGTTTTTTTTTAATTTGTAGTTTGATTTCTTACTAAATTTTTATTACTACCTATTTTAGTATTTCAAAACTCATACGACGATGCCCTTTATTTCATTAGATTTGATCCCGTTATTCATTAGATTATTATTGTACAAGTTAGTCCACTTTAAGAACCTCTTATTCTAGTTATTAACTCGATCGAGGATGTATTCTTGTGGAGTCCTTCGTAAGCTGTTTACGAGGGTTTTCCTTTAAGCCCTAATAATTTATCTTTCTTATACGACACACAAAAGATGTCTACGAACCTTATACGAATACAGTAGATTTAAAGTAAAAATACCAAACTGTTAAATAACTTGAAATTATAGATCGTTATCGTGTGTTAAAAACTATTCTTAAGTATTTACTGTTTTAGTAACATACCTTGTTACATTTTGCGAAAATTTATTTAGAATCTCTCAGATAGCTCTAAAATGAATGTATAGAACTGAATTTAATTTGGAACATACATAAAACACAGTCCCATAATATCGGATAGTCTTTTCTTTTCGGTAAGATGTACGGTACTCTTGGGAAATATTTATTTTAGTCACTCATATAAAAGAATAACTGTGATACGAAATAAACTCTGAGTTTTTCCACGCGGATAACAACAACATCTAGTGATTAAACGAAACATACTAAACTATTGTATTACAGGCACAGTTGCGTCACAATGAAGATATACAAAAACAGTTTCGAGGTTTTTCCCCCTGGGGCACCTGGACTGTTTGTTCACAGAGATGTACCACTGTTAGACGGAGGTGAGTCAATATTTATATAGTTCTACTTCACTTTTTATTTGCTTTTCCTTTTTTTTAAACCAGAATAAATAAAATTGTTCCGAATCAACTAAAGTTGGTCTCCTAAAAATCATACTTATATGATACTTTCATACTAATATTATAAATGCGAATGTTTAGATGGATGGATGTTTGTTTGAAGGTATTTCCAGAACGGTTGCAACTAACTAAACAACTAACTCCGCGCGGACGGAGTCACGAACGACAGCTAGTCTTATGGGCATTGCAACGTAATGGGATGAGCTACTGATAATAGACATGATGATAGTGGTAATAAAGTTAAGTTAGCTTATAAGTTTTAAGTTATCTGAAAGCGTAATTTTCTTTTTCATTTATAGAGTATGTCAGAAAAAAGCAATATGTGGGAACAGAATAATAAAGCAATCGGCGTACTGCTACCTGGAGGGTAGCTACTGCCATCTATGGATCAGAAAAAGGATGCAGCGACGAAAGGATCCAGGTGAATTGCATAGGTATCTAGCTAACTAATTCTACATAACTTTTAACACCGCAATTGTATTTCGTATTGTCAAGTTGGGATTTCTTTATAAGTTTCGACAGTGGTAACCTACGTTTATTTTTGTGTGACAATTTGAATTATTGCACAAAACGCATAACACCTTATTAATAATTTTATACTAATATTTTGAAAATTAGATTAGACTAGAACAAACGTGAAAGATTGTTTTAAGATTATATTATACATAGAATGGAGACAAATCATTTGTTTTGTAAATTCATAAATATATATAAAGTATAATAAAATAATTTAAAAAAAAATGATGCGAATTCAAGACACGTCAGGTACTGGAAAGATTATCCTATATTTTGTTGCCTACGAAATTTATTACAAAGTCTTGGTATAGTAATTATTTCGAATTTCGTGATAAATATTTCATGCAATTTTGTAGTTTGCTTATTATACGAACTTATATAATAAATAACATTTGTACTTTTATCATTTTATCATATAATATTATATTCTGTCTTAACCCTATTCATTAGATAATTTTCAGTCTAAATTTTGATATAGGTTTATTTATGAATTATCGAACTATTTTAGAATACACTGTAGCTGAAACCATGGCGCCTCCACCGAAGGTGATTCACCCGGAGGACACACGGGCGTCTACGCAGGCGCCACCTTGCGGACAACTTGGTCGTCAGCGCGGGCACGCACGACCGCGCACGCGCATGCGAGACATGTTGCGTATTATTGGAGGCCGGCCAGCACCACCAGGGAAGTGGCCGTGGCAGGTCGCTGTACTTAACAGATATAAGGCAAGTATTTATTTCTTTTGAAGTTGTTCAAAACTTACAGCTTGTGATGTTAGGTAAATACATATTTTATACTATTCCCTTCAATGTGAAAGTAAAGGTTTTTCAAACGCCTTTAGGCCAGTAGATAAGGCTTCGAATTTTCAGAGGAAGTTGGAATAGTACAAGTAATATTATTTAGTAAATTAACAAAAATGTGTTTAAAAAAGTCGTAAAAAAATCTTAAGCTTACTTTTAGTTCATGACTTTAGTTCATGTTCGTCCAAACATTATTTAAAGTTCACTAATATAAGACTAAAATTTGAAAGATCAATTTTGTTGCAAAATTTCACTTTATAATGTTGGTAGGAGCATAAAATGTCGTCTTGTACCTAAAGTATACCTTCTACAAAACCCTCTCAAAACTTGGCGATTCTGCTAAGAAATTTTGGCATAGCGCCAATATTTACTCGTTGTATCCTTTGCTATATTTGCAAAGATATTCTATCTTCATAGAAGAATTGAAGATTATAAACTATGTTATTTGGAAGAATATTATCACCACTTTTTATTACGAAACTTTTCGTTAATTTCTAAGCTCAAAATGTTACATTGGATGTTAGTCACAGTTCATTAGTACAATGTAACAACAGAGGGAGATCGCATCCTTGAACATATCTAAATTATTTTGTCTCATTCCAGGAAGCTTTTTGTGGGGGTACACTAGTATCCCTATGGTGGGTGGTAACAGCGGCGCATTGCGTACGGCGACGACTCTTAGTGCGGTTAGGAGAACACGACCTTTTTGTACGCGGCCGCAGCGAGCTCGAGATGAGAGTGGTGGGGGCGGTCGTACACCCTAACTACGACCCTGATACTGTCGTCAATGATGTCGCTATGTTGAGGTTAGATTGTTTTCATAGAACAATACAGTTTCCATTACTACGCTCGTCTTAATAGATAATAATATAATCATGAAGACTGACCTTTATATGGCTACCGTGATATTTTATTTCAATTGTATTTTCTTTTTCTCTTTTGTATTTTTTATTCTATTACTAGCTCATAAGACAACAAGAGTACAGAGTAAAGCATGTACGATGATTCCCTTTGTTAAATTTTTACCATTGTTACCTACTACTTTGTTATCACCTACAGATTTTCTTTGGCCTCATCAATTTATTTTTCTCTATTCTTATTTTATTTCCTGTTGAAATAAAAAGACGAATGTATTTCATTCATAACATCAAGATAATTATAACAAGCCTGCCTTTTATGTTGTTTTATTAAAAACAAATATATTTAGCAAAGATTCTATTTACGAATGCTATGAATGGAATCTCGTGTAATCAAACAAAGAACAATCTGTACATGTTAATAAAATTGGGTTGTCTTGTAATATCGATAAAAAACTTATTTCGTATACATGATGTTATATATTATTTATATATTATTTCTTGTCTGTTTCACCTTACGTACGTGTTGGTTACGAACACTTTACATTGAAATTATAGGACAGCTCAAAGAGCCTAGATTTTTTGCGAAGTAACATTTAAGTTGGTTCTTAGTGTCATAACAGCGGAACTAGGTTAAGAGTAAATCTTTTACTTTTACTATATTTTAACCTAGAACTTGAATAGTACCTATGTTACGAAATCAAATATGAACATAACTTTATCAGAACAAAAATATCTGTGGCGCAGTAGTTACATCACTGGACTTGTAATCTAAACTTCCTGAGTTCAATATCTCAAGTATATGTTGAAGATGCCACTTGATTTAATTTGTCCCAGGTTACCAGCTCCAGCGCGACCTGAACTAGGCCACGGTATCGCCTGTCTACCGCGGCCTGGTCAGGTGCTGCCTCCTCACGCAACCTGCACCATACTTGGATGGGGCAAGAAGAGAGCCACCGATGCACACGGCACCAGGATTTTGCATGAAGCACAAGTAAGTTAACATAGTCATGTTTCGACTGTTGAAGAACTTGTATAGAATATTTTTTTATATATCATAAGGTGGCAAACGAGCGAGCGGCATTTGCATAAGCGTTGCCTACCTTTAATCGACGGAGGAGAGGATGCACAGAAAAAAAAATATTTTCCCTTACCATGCATCCTCTCATCCGGAAAGTCCACTTCCACTTTCCATCCTTTCCTTATAAGAAAAAGGGCGGGAAGAGAAAGAGGATTAAATAAGGCCTCCGGGACGCACACTCATCAGACGAAAGGCGGAATTGCTTCCACTTGACGCCTGTCTTCTGTGTGGTCGTGGTATTTCACCGGGCGAGCCGGGCCAATTCGTGCGAAGATGTTAAAGCGGGCTCTACCACTGTTAATATTAATGTTAACTCTTTTATTCTCTTTGAAGAAATAGAGACAGTAATTTGTGTCAATACAATACAAAGCAGACCCTTAGATAATAACTAATTGTTGATGTAAGCTTTGATTATAATATATTGTATACAATAAACGTCTTAGTTTTCATGTAAATGTTTAAATGTTTGCATTCGTATAAAGAATCAATAGTTAATTAACAGTTAATTTCGTATTAAAGTTTAATTTAAAAAAATTAGAAAAGTAGCAATATTAAAAAAAAGAGATACAATTTCCTGTCGCAAGCGAACAGAGTCAGGGAATTCAATAATTGCGACCTCGTCATCTGCGGAGCCATTTTATTGTGTTTGCCGATTGCGGTATTTATTTTTTTCTTTTATAAGTACCTAATATTGCCAGGGTAATAATGAAAAGAAATTTTTACAAATACGTATTTATTTATGAATACTAAATTATTTGGTTCCTTATATTTGATATCTTTGGTACTTTACAAAAACGTTATTTTTAAGGCATGATTGTATTATTTATTTTAATAGGTAATATATCTAAAAACTCGAATTGCCAGTGTTTTCGTACTCTCACTTTGTCTTCATGAAAAATAGTATTTAATTTTTTTATGTAATTAAAAAAATATTCCGTGTATACGCTACATCCCTTAATAACCATAAAATGATAACTGTGGTTTTCTGAGACCAAAATTCCACGTTTACAACAAATGTTTATCTATGTTTTGTCAAATATAATGACAGGGTTGACGATATGTTTACAGAGATATTGCCTCAGAATCTAACAATGAGTGCGGTAGCACCCTGGGGCTGACATTACTTCTGTATAACTCTGTTTCATATTCCTAGGTATCAACAGTGCAACAAGGAGTTTGCCGGCGCTCGTACTGGCAGTATGCTATCACCGACGACATGGTTTGCGCGGGTCGTGGCCGACGGGATTCTTGCGCTGGTGACTCCGGAGGCCCGCTGCTCTGCAAGGACAGGAATATGAGGTACTACCTACAGGTAAGACTTTCGTATCATTCATCACGTATCTGTTCAGCCAACTGTACTGCTGAACGTTGCCCAGTTAATTATTGAGTGCCTCCCAAGTGGACGTGCGTTGTCTCTGCCTACCTCTGTCCTGGTTACGGGCGTGAGTTATCTTGTCGTTGTTGTAGTTATAATAAGACTTTTGAGAAAGACGGCGTTTATTTTTACTGGTAAAAAGTTCTCGCGAGAAAACTCGTAGCTAATTAAAGTTAAGTTTCTTCTTTTCTTCCAATTACCAGGGGCTTTGCAGCAGCATTAAAAAAACATTGTGTCTTTGTTTCAAGTTTAGAATTAATATGATGTTACTTAGATCATTTTGTTATTTTTTTAATGATTTTTCAACACAAATATAAACATGATTTAACGGAGTCATCAAATGGTAATTTACGATTTAAATTTTGGGAGCCTGATATTTTATTTTATTCGAGTCAACTATTTTGGGGACTTATGGTCAGCTACGCGCTACGCAGTGCGACTCTGTACATCCGTCCCAAGAATAGCGATACTTAAATTGAGTACGTCGCAGCGTCGTGAAGTTCCGAGCTGCCGAATAGTTTGATTTATCCTATAACATCTTTGGTTTGAATGTCCACAGGGTATCACCAGCTTCGGCGATGGTTGCGGCAAGCGCGGCAAGTACGGCATCTACACGCGCACCGCCGGCTATGTTACGTGGATGAGGAGTGTCATGAACGAGAAGTACTTCGACTGATTTTTATAATGGAACATATACATAATAAAGTTATTATATGATGATGATTGGATTATTTGTTTAGTTGTATTCGTGTTATATGGTCATCAATTAATAAAAATAACAGGGTTCCAATATATTTTTAGATAGGTAATTCAGCATTTAAAACTAACAGTTCCATTTATCTTAACATTTTTTATTTTTTTATTGCGTTGTACATTTATGTCAAAAGGGGATAATTTCATAGCAATATATTGATGAAACAAACTCTATTATTGACTGACTGGAATGCGGAGGAGTTGTCGAAATTAAAGGTTTTAACTGTCAAGGGGCTTACTTGGAGCTTTGACAATAACGTCGAACGTTGAATACGTTCGACGTTATTGTACGTCAGCTTTTTTATTTCCCAATGGATTTGAGCCAATCATTTTTCTATTTTTTTTTTTCATTTTTATTCTGATAAAAATTCGAGTAATTCATTGTTAATGATTTTTAATTAGTGATATGTTCAAAGTTAATTAATTCGTTACATTTTAATTAATTAAATATCATGCTTATAATTAATGTTAAGCTAGATTATTATGGAAATAGCCGTTAATGATATTTTTAAATGTTCTCTTTTTCGTTTATCCTAACAATCGATAATAGAATCGTTAGGAAAAAATTACACGCAATTCTTCGACTCATAAAAAAACTTTTAACTAAGTCATGCTCAAAGTTATTTCTTCTTCAGAGTTATTTAGTCATCTGTAATATTACATTTATTTCTTATTATAAGTTAGAAAACTCGGATTACGATTTTCTTAAGCGGTTTCTCATAAGATACATTTTTTTCTATATAAGTTTACTTTAGTTTATTATAATAAATTCATTTACAAAAACTGTTTTGACGATTTCTGCCTAATTGTAAGCTAAAAAGGTGACGGAATCAAAATCAGTTTTTTTTAATATCAAGCAAATTAGTCGATTCAACATCATTTAAAACTGAACTCAAGTAAAGTCATTTAGCTTTTGTAAGTATTGTAGTTATTAAATCATTTTATTCTGAAGCTATTTTGGTAATAACAGACATTTTTGGGTGTGTCACGATAATGGATATTATCTGTTGGTGTACTATAAAGGTTTTAATCGATAAAACCAAAATATAGACACACGTGCTACTCTAGATGTCATAAATATACACGGACATTCTGTTAGAGTTCTTTTTTAACCTGCATTGATATTGTTAACGGTCATCTTAGTTGAAGTAAAAAAATGTAAAATTAAGTATTACGACCGTGGAATAACGTGACCGATCTGTCGATTTAAACGGGGCTTTTCGAATCCGCCGAATTTAAATATTTTTATATTGATAACAACTAAATTTTGATAACACCACCAAACGGTAAACACCCATCTAAATTCAGCTGAGAAATTCGTTGCATTTCTCTCCTTTTGAAAGTTATAAAATTTTAATCACAAACATCTCAAAGCTCTTCATAAAAGCAAAAAGTACGAGAAGTTAGTTCTTTAAGTAGTTGCTTTTAAAAATTTACTTAAAATGCTACTCGATTCGGCTTACATTTGAGCTATATTAAAAGGACGCGATTTAAATATACGAAAGTAAAATATACGTCAAAGTAAAGTAATATTCTTGAAATGAAAATGTACATTTGATAAGACATGTACGATATAAATTTGTTTCATAATAATTCTAGACTAGCTTTTTAAAAAAAATATAATAATTCAAAAGAGCCTTCAAAATATTAATTTCCTTATTATAATTCTATACAGTACTATCGAACAATATATGGTGTTGTGTAACATTTGTTCTTAAAATGAAACATTAAGATTGAAAATAATTCAAGAATAAATTAATTCGCATATTTTGTGGCAACGCGGAGAAATATATACGTAATTTACTTCCTTTGATTATCTGCTTTTGCTCATGATTATACGTTGAAATTATTTATTCTTTGTGGACATTAATATTATTAAATTTTGTTTTTGCTAAAAATCTTACGTATAATTATTTTTCTCCAAATGATATTCTACTAAGATAAATTTTAAATATTTTATAGTCATTGCCAATCGCATAGTTACCCTTAACTTTAAAAATATTATAAATCTATATATATAAAAGAAAGTCGTGTTAGTTACACTATTTATAACTCAAGAACGGCTTTATCGATATGGTTGAAAATTGGTGAGGAGGTAGCTTAGAGCCAGGAGACGGACATAGGATACTATTTATTTCTATTCTTTCGAATTTATGCCTTGAAGAGCTGCTTTTTATTTAACTTATCTACATATTGAGTTTTTTTATATATCCACGCGGACGGAGTCGCGGGCGACAGCTAGTATATATAGTATATAATAAAAAAAGCTTTTTTCACAACATATTAAGGTAAAGCTTTATTATATGTTCACAGCGAAAGTTAATACGTATTGTTAATACTTAAATATTCAAGTCCAGTGGAAACAAAAAGTTGTAGACTACTCACAATAGAGCCATGTCGCTTTCCTCCGTGCAACTTGATTAATATGTATGCAGCGCTTTACATTGGATAAGATAAACTAGCGTCCACTAATAAAAGCTTAGCTGATTTTGCTCTTTTGTTTGCAACAAACTATACTTCGTAAAATGTAAATTTTTGGAGTTGAATTTTCGGTGCGGTGTTGTGACATTCAGATTGAGTTGTTACAATCTAGTTAAAATTCTGTAGCAATTTGATACTAAACCGTGTGAAAAGGGTGAGGTTACTTTCATTTTGTTTTTTTTTTTTTGCTAAAGCTGGCAATTTATTTACATTTTATGTTGTAAATGTGAGAAATATTGAGAGGCTAATGCCTTGTGCGTTAATATTTGTTACATTAAAATATTTTTTTTACCAAAGTATTTATAAAATATACGTTGTAATTTGACATAAATTGGATAGTTGTAATTGTACTCGAGGGAAAAAATGTTGTAAAAAATTTTTTCTAAGTATTTCACAAGTTACCTTCGAACGATTGTTAATCTTCTATATAAAACAATTTTAACTTACTATAAAGTTAGCGACTTAAGTTTTTTCCTTCGCTGAATTGAATTTAAAAATTCATAAGAACCAGCAAATACTTTGGTACAAACAGTTTTTACGTAAATATATAGTTACATCTTAAATATAACGTTAAGTTAAAAAAACTTGTTGGTGATTTTAAAACACAAGTTGCCGCCCGCGAATCTGTCTGCTCGCAATTAAAAAATAAAAATTAGTAGCCTCTCTATTTTTCAGACTATGTTCTACATCTATACTAAATTTCAGAAAGATTTATTCAGCCGTTCTGGACGTACCTTCTAACAAACATTCATCCTTTCGTATATATTACGGCTACTTTACTAATTGTGATATATTGTGATATGTGATATATATTTTACGTACAACACATTGATTATATGACCTGACATTTTATATTAGCAATAAAGTGTTTATAAATAAATAATAAATAAAAAAATATAATCGACCTTGAAGTGACGTTAATATAAAGTTGCTACATAAAGCTTTTATCACGTTGTCTCATTATGACGTGATGCGGTCCTATAAAGATAAAGATGTTGTAAGAGACACATCAATGCATTAGATCACTAAGTAGAACATGTCTCGCGTTCTTTGCAGTATTCATGTTTGCAAGTCACGTCATGTTGGTGGTATAGTTACTACAATACAGTATGTACTTACACGAAAATTAGTAGGTACTTTTGTATAATCCGAATTTCTACTATTAAATAATAAAATTCATAATTAATTCATCATAACATTTCAAGAATTAACTATTTTGTTTTTATTCTTTTTTTCTATTTGCAATCGTTTAGATAAAGGAAGGTCCAAAGTAAACATCGCGTCGATTGCTCATAGTCTTATGATAGATAAGTAGTTTCTACGTGATTGATGTAGAAAAAAAAACAATTCTCGTTAATCGTTCGTCATATGAAAATACACATAGAATAAGCGAAAAGAAAAGGGACGTTGATAACGGCTTATTTTTTCTCAAGTAACATATGTTACGATTTGCATGTTTACAGCCAGTCATCTTTGCAGCATAAATTTTCCGTAAAGTACCGGTATAAAGGGCATTTTGCTAACCTCAAAATTTCCTCAGCCATCATGACGTCTTACCAACAATGTAACGACCGAAAACAACATCAGTTTATGTAAGGAACGAGGAAATCAGAACCGCTTTATTTACTCGTAGTCGCTCTCCTATCCAGCTATAGAATAAAGTGTAAATGTTACACAGTTTTGGATACTGAATATAGTCAAACCTAGAAAAGCGAGAAACCTCTATAAGCTAGTCATGGTCTGGTCCTGACGGTCAACCTTCATAAGCAAGAATCTTGGGTTAGAGTGAAACCTTTATAAGCTAGAATAATATCACGGTCTCTTGGACTCTTGCTTATCCATGTTCGACTGTAGTTCCTTTTGGTTTTATTCGAATTATATTATTTGGGAAGTAGAGATAACTTTGATAAATTGACTTTATGTGTTTTGAGTAAAATTATTGTAAAAACAAGAGATAAATTACTGATTTTATTATAAATATTATGTTTTCTTAGATAATATACAACTAAGTACAGACAACAGAGGCCCAATTTCAGTTGATAAGTCCTTACAAGACTCGAAACAACAGAAAATAAATGATCGATGACATTTCGATTTGGGTCACGTCCAATATAATGAAATGTCACTTTTGTTAAGTAACATTAAGATACTATTTTATTTTTAGATGTTTATATTTTATTAGTAGCTTTTGACTGCGACTTTGTCCGCGCGGAATTGCGCTTTCAATAAATAAAACTCTGACTTAATTTCTGATAAAACATTATTCCTACTACTTTTCCTTAGACTTTTCCTTTGCAATAAAAAATACAGCATTTAAATCTGATATTGTAATTCGCAAAACAATAAAAATGTCAAAAAACGTACAAAATAAATAAAAATCGAACAAGCTTACAATTTTCACGATACACAAAAGATTTTCACAAGTCGGTTACTTTTCAGAATATTATATAGCAATCATTTTTGTAGTTAATGTATCATTAGTTGAATTTCTTGTAACTTCTAATACCCAAGGAACAAGCCTCCATACTCCTGTGTATTGAGCTGTTGATTCGTTACGATTACTTTTTCCCTTCTGTAAAATAAATATAATAACATCGCGTAAAAATACAGAAAGAAATTCTAATTTAAGAACTCAAAGGATTACTCTACCAAGCGTTTATGGATCAGTGGTTAAGTATTTGATTTGTAATTTGCAAGTCCTGGGTTCGATCCCGCCATTACCAATGTGTTTTTTTATTTTTCGATCTACATATGTACATTTATCGTGATGTAACCTCCACATATCTGAGAAGAAATTCTTACCTGTAAAGATAATGCCATTAACTTTCCTTGAACTAGTAATAGGCTACCGTGAGCCGTATCTTTCTTATCTCCCATATATGGAAGTGATAAGCAATACATGTTTTTAACATTTAATTCTCTCTCATATTCCTCATTACTGAAACAATTTTAAATACTAACATGAAAACAAAATAGTTGTTGTAACTAAAAAATAAAAGGTAAGACCCAAATAATTTTTGCATGGTAACTTTGGCGTGATAATTAGTAATAAACGTTGATAAAATTTTATACTTAATAGTTATGTTTATCAAAACAGAATATCGTAAAATAAAGTACAATTTAAGCATGCATGTGACTAAAATAAACAACATTGTTCTCATTATGTATTTGATTAAACCCTCTGAGTTAGTATTGTTCACTATTCAACTTCAACCAAAGGTTGCTTTACACAGTTTCGCTTTGTAATAAATTATTTTGCGTTTGTTAAACTTTACCACGATTTCTACAAACATTTCAGAATAACACCACTATTACACGTTAATTCTTAAACTACTAACTTGTGTTCTCCTTGTTTAGGACAAGATTTAGGAAATATTAAGCCCTCGTAAGCCACAAGAGGGCGCTTCGGTAGATGATAGGAAAGGTATCTTGTATTGTATCTGAAATAAATAAAAGACATATACATCAAACATGTCTTTAAAAAGCTTGTTAATTCGTGCATATGTTTTTTCATAATCACGATCGTGTTCCAGATATTGAGTATCTCTGAATCTAAATGGAAATCTGTAAAACCTCTCAACAGACCATGTCTTTTTTTTAATCTTACCAATATTATAAATGCGAATGTTTAGATGGATGGATGGATGACTGTTTAAAGGTATCTCCAAAACGGCTGAACAAATCATGCTGAAATTTAGCATACATATAGAACATAGTCTGGAAGAACTACTACTATTTTTTTTTAATATGTGCGGACGGAGTCGCTGTTGACAGCTTGTTTATCATATTATTGCAATCACCTATCAAGACCCCATCCAATAGCGGTAGCAGGGAAACCTTTTTCGTTGATAACGAATTTATGCGACACAAGAGAAATGGGCGACCATCCGACGCAATTGTTTATCATAGAAGTTATAACTTGCACTGCACCTGCAATTAAAACCTTTATTTCGCACGCACAGTTCATCCATCAGCTCACTATATGTCCCCACTGAGAGACTTGGAGCCTACGCTAAGTGACTAGGCCAAATTCAACCTCGCTGGTCAAGAGTGGGTTGATTGACTTCCCAGATATGTGTAGGTTGCATCACGATGTTTTCCTTCCCTCGCACAATATCTCTCTCAATATCTAATACATGTATTTTTATAAGAGAAGAGGTCAAACGATCGGCGGTAATACTGAGGTGATCACACCCATGGACATAGTATAGAGTTACAGAAAGAAGTATCAGTTTGTTTAAGAGTTATTATCACAGTTAAAAGGACGTTATTGTACCTATATTATAATGATGTCGGCGTGTTCTATCACGGTAACTGTACGACGGATGTATCAAACTGCGTCGGACGTAGGCGACAGATTCTGTTTCCCACCATTTGTCGCTGCAGTAGGAAATGTAAGCGGACCTCTCGGTCACCATGTTCCTTTTGTGATGTCGCGCCAGGCACGAGCCTGCGGCTATTAACCAGTAGCTGTTTATAGCTGCGGCGTCGCAGTAAATCTGCAATGTAAGTACTAATTTAAAAGTTTCCTTCGATCATCTATCACAAAAAATTTTCTTTACTTATTCTATTGGTTCTTGGTCTCACTGTTATTATGTTTTGCGTTTCATCAAGCTTTAGTAAAGTGAACATACTTACAGACAAAGGTTCATAAATATAAGCTGCTATGTAGGGAAATTTAGACCAAACATTTGGCGTTCTTTTGCATACGGCAGAACTGGTGCTTATTTCATTCTGTTCATTTACATTTAGAGATAATTTTTCATTGGTTTTTGTTTTATATGTACCATTTAAAATCGTTTGTATTTTCTTCAATAAGATACCGGGTTCTTTTAAAAAAGGTGCAGGATTGTGAATACTATTTAGTACGTACATATTTTGACTTTCTAAATCATTATTTACAATTTGAGTCTTATTTTCGCAATTATTATTAGAACTTACTGCTATTACATTTGGTAAAAAATCTTCAACAATTTTTGTCGAAGGTTCGGTATTTTTATCATACATTTCAAAAAACTTTATCCTGTCATATATTGTCGTTGATTCTGTTGTCAATACTGTTGTATTTGTGCTTGTTCGTATCAGTTTATTAAGGGGATCATTAAAAAATATACTGAACCATTGAGAATCATTATTATTATTTCTTGCTATCCTTTTATTTGATAGCATTGCTGAATTATTCATAAGACTCCGTAATTGATTGGTTTCGTTAGAATCGAGGTTTTTGTAATTCTTGTTTAAATTCAAATAAAAATTTGCAGAGTCTACATTATCTTCTTTAATGTTTTTATTATTCAAATGTAAAGCAAATATTGGTCGTCTTATAATTCGAGATTTTAATTTATCTCCGGCGTTATTTTGCTGTTTGTTTTCAACTTTAAGGTCTTTTCCTTGATCAGTCAGTTGATTGGATATATCTTTTTGTTTTCTTAGTTCTTCTATTTTGTCTAAATAATAAAATTCAATACCACTAGGAGTAGTGCCAGAACTCTGGTTTATACATTGATTTGATGTATACAGTATTGAAGTTAAACTTGGATCACTCGCTGGAATTACTTGGCTTGTAGTTAACGCATCAACATCTAAGAAGATTTTTGTTTTTCTCCACAAAACGTTTACTATTTCATAGTGTCTTCTACTTACTTTGTCAACTGATACAGCGGTTAAAGGTGGAACAGTGCTAGAATAAATTGTATCTTTATTTTGGGAAATATCTTCGTATTCATATTTCCTTAAAGAATCTATGTAAAAATTTCTATTTGCATCCAATGAATAAATCAGAGGAGCTAAATATATTGTTTGAAGAATGTAAAACATTTTAAATTAAAAATCTTATGAATTTATCAAACTGAATATGCTTTAAAATTTCCACATCACTGAATGATAAATAAATATTGTGAATCACATGGAAAAATAATATACGTAGAAAAACTTTTGGATTTTATTTAAAACGATTTATGACATCGACACAACGACATGACATTGGCAGATATTTTACGTCACGCTCTGTTTGGATTTGATATTGATAAGACCATAAAGTTATTTTACTACGAACATTTTTGTGTCGAATTTACAAAAAAATACATTTATACAGTGCTCCGGTAAAACTTTTTCCTTTAAACATATTATAAAAATAATTTAAACAAAAAAATAATTGTGAAGATTTTTATATTTCAAGATTAATGAATATTGTTGAAGAAGTTTATATATATTTTATGTTTTAAGTATGACATTTTTATTACATCATATCAAAAATGATTTGAGTGAAAAAAATTAGAACTGTATTTAAGTTGGCTTATTTAAATTTGTTAGTCAAATTGCAAAACTGTTAAATTAACAATTAATATCAACGGATTCTTATGAAATTACTTGATTTTTTTTCAAAAAATCATAGCAATGAATTCCGTACCCGTAGCTTTAAACAAAGCCGCTATGCGGAAATACGAAGATCTGGAAATCCCATGCGATTCCATTCTGTCTACTTATGTTTGGGTGGACGGAAGCGGAATAAACATGCGCTCCAAAGATAGAACATTTGATTTCATTCCTAAAACATCTAAAGGTAAGTAGTAATTATAACCGTTGGTTCCAAAATCTATATATAAACCACATCTTTGTCATTATATTTGACAAAACAGAACAATATGTTTTAAACAGGAATTTTAAGGTCAGAAACTCACGATACATTTTTAATTGCGCTGTCTTTTGAACTAACAGGGCAAATTTGCCTATTAAGACTTTTGCAACTTTTACAAACGTACAATTGTCTTGTCTTGATCTTTTGCCCCTAAGTTTATATTAAATTAACAGAGAAAGTTTTAATTTATATTCCTTGAAATAACTCCTTCCTTCCTTGAAACTATGACTTAGTTTGATACTTTTATACATTTTTAAATATCCCATTTTTTCCAGATTTGCCTGTTTGGTATTTTGACGGTAGCAATACGGCTCAAGCTAATTTTGATAACTCCGATACGTTTATTTTCCCCGAAGTGATTTATCATGATCCCTTCAGACGTGGTAACAATATTATAGTATTGGCGGATACTTATCAACATAACTATGAACCCACAAGTAAGTACACAAACAAGTTTTTTTACAAAGATAAATATTTCAACTTCAAGTTCTTAAAAATTATAAGTTAAATTTTTCTGAAAATGAAAAACGATATCTATTTTTGTTATTTGAAACATAAAAATGATGTTTTATACTTTATTCCCACCAATAGTTTTTTCTAAGGTACAAATCATCGAAAGAACTGCGTTTTGATTTGCGAGAAGGGTGAGGTGGAAGAGCCTATGTTTGGATTTAACCAAGAGTTTTTCCTGACGACTACTGATGGTAGGCCACTCGGCTGGCCACCGGGTGGCTTCCCTGCGCCCCCTGGACCTTATTACTGCGCTATTGGAGCTAATAAAATAGTAGCCAGAGATCTTATGGAAGCTTTCTTTAGGTTTGATATAACGAATGTGTTGTAATTGTGTTGTAGTTCAAATTTGACGTACTTTTTGGTTCATTAAATTATTGGACGAATGGAATTGTGGCGAACTACTATATTGAATTCAACAACTAAGAAACTAGTATACACAAGGTAACTTGAATTAAATTAAATTTTGCAGATGTTGTCTCTTCGCGGGTATAAAATTAAATGGAATGAATTCCGGAACAACTCCTTCACAATGGAATTTCCAGGTCATTATATTACACTTGTTAGATGGATAAACAATTTTATACTTTTACATACCAAATTTATGACTGACTTGCACCCTGTCTCGGATAATTGCCTGATCCGATCTTTCTATGGTGGTTTATTTAAAACCATTTTACTTAGGATTCTTTAAAAAAAACTCTCTTTGGTCGTTTGACTCTATCTCCTAAAACCTTGTTGTCCAGGTTGGTCCGAGCCCAGGTATCCGCGCCGCAGACGATTTATGGATGGCGCGGTATATCTTATCCCGTCTCGCAGAAGAGTACGGCACGGTGGCTACATTCGACGCTCAGCCCGTACCTGAGTGGCCAGGGAATGGAACCTTTGTATACTTCTCTACTAAAGATATGAGAGAAGATGACGGTATTCTGTAGGTTGATTATTTACTAAATATTCTGGTGGCTATGTAATTAAAACGGTGCAACTAATATTGTAGCTTCTACAAACACGTGTACTAACGATAAATAAAGTGTGCTTATTTATAGATGCCATTACCTAGGGAGCTTTAATTGAAAGCTGGTAAAAATACACTAACAAATAGCGTTGATTATCTCTTGCAGCGTGATCGAGCGCGCGATTGACAAATTGTCTCGACGCCACGGGGTTCATATAAATGAGTACGATGCTCACAACGGCGCCGATAATGCGCTACGGCTGACGGGGAAGAACGGAATGCCACATCTACGCGACTTCACCGCAGGTGATTTATGACATGCATTGTATGTGGAAGTGGCAGATTGATGGTCTTTGAGTATGAATAATGATGAAATAGGATGCTAATGAAATTTTTTTCGGAAGTGAAAAAGACTTTAAAACAATTTAAATACTAAAAAAGACATATTTTCTTCACTTTGTGTATGATGAAGTTTGTTTACGTAATGAAATAGTTTTTATTCCTGTTCTTCATTTAGTCATTTCATTTCTAGTATTTACTGGGTTGCAGGTGTGGCCAACCGAAGTTGTTCAGTACGCATTCCTCGCCAAGTGTCTGAAGACAAGCGAGGGTACCTGGAGGATCGCCGGCCGGCCGCCAACGCCGATCCCTACAGGGTCATCACTATAATGCTCAGGACATGTGTTTTCGATGAATAATATGTTTTGGTTTCACCAATTGTTGTTGTCATATGATTAAGTCATTAAATTACATTAAAAGCGATCTTTCGCGTTTGTTATCAAAGTGTTCTCTGTACAGTATAGGTTTTTTTTTTTAAGTGTAATTTCAAATGGGTTACAATGCTTATTTTATTGAGTACACTCAAAGTTAAAGTTATTTAAATGATACAGTTTAAGTAAGAAAAAATGATTTTAATATTTCTTTAAGCCGGATAACAACGTCTGTTGACATTAATTTTGCAAACAACATAGGCTCGACTAAGAAATTGAAACAAATGTCCGTCGTTATTACTGAAGGGCCAAGAACTCGATAAATACGATTAATAGCAGAGCAGCAGTCAGTGCGATAATTCGGAACATACTTATAATTGATTTATCTAATTTATTGCAGTTTCAGTACTAAGTTGCTGATTTTCTTTGTAACGTATTACAAATGTAATCATTCAGAAAATATCCATAGTATAGCGAAATGAAAATGTCTACAGCGTGGGCGTGACAGAGCATTTTTGGCAGGAGTTTTTGATGACTCGCGATTAATCTACTGCATTTTTTAATATTACACCAGGTGTCGAATTTACGATGTCTAATTTTAACTAATGATAAAAAAGATGTTTGCTTTTACTATTTATACGAATTAATCATGCGTTTAGAACCGTCCAACAATCCAACATTCCCAAAGAAATGATTCGACCAGTTGGATGTCTAGTTGGTGATATCGTATTATAACGTTATGACGTGACGTTATATGATATGACGTGACGTCATAATATGATATATCGTATCGTGTTACGTCACATCTCAATCTTAATGTTGGAAGATATGATTGTTGAAACGGATTAACGTTAGTAATTAGTTTATAATCTAAGTATCTTCTATCTTACTAGTCTTACAAATATATGGATGGAATGATGGATGTATGTTTGTTAGAAGGTATCTCTAGAACGCCTGCATGGATATCTCTAATATTTGGCATAGATGTAGCTTGGAAAACACATAGGCTACTAATTAAGTTCTTTGTATTCCGCGCTGACGGAGTCACGGTCGACAGCTAGTATTTATCTCTCATATTAATTAAAAAATTAGACAAAATACAGTAGGGCATGTGTCTTCTATCTTGTTTCATTAACATGTTAACAATGTACTTAAAAATGTACAAATGGCCAAGCTCTCGAGTTAATAACGTAAATCGCACCTGTAACTAAACAAGCAATTAATTTTAATTAAGGTTTCTATTTCCGTCGGTTATCGTGTACGCACGCCTCGTGGTGATTTATTACATAATGAATCAGTATTTAATCTAGTAATATTGTTTATTTAAATACGTACCAAATTATTTTGAGACGCATATTTGATAGATTAATTTTATGGTTTAAAAGATTAGAGATCTAATCTTTTTTGCATATTATGCATTTATTGCTTTGTACATTTTTTATTAATCCGGTTAATATTTTTTTTCTATATCAAAAGGTGGCAAACGAGCGAGCGGCCACCTGAAATCGCAGAAAAAGCGAAGTGACTGCTGCCCATAGTTATACGCAATTGCATATGCGTTGCCTACCTTTAATCGACGGAGGAGAGGATGCACAGAAAGAAAATATCTTCCCTTTCCATGCATCCTCTCATCCGGAATGTCCACTTCCACTTCCCATCCTTTCCTTTTTTTTATTATGGGAAGGGAAAGAGGACTAAATTAGTTCTCCGGGACGCACACTCATCAGACGAAACGCGGAATTGCTTCCACTTCACGCCTGTCATCTGTGTGGTCGTGGTATTTCACCAGGCGAGCCAAGCCGATTCGTGCGAAGATGTTAAAGCGGGCTCTACCACTGTTAATAATAAAAAAAATCTGTCAAAATACGCCCATTTCTTAACTTTGCTCGAGTTACAGTTTTACACTAAAGAACAACTTATTAACGATGAATTTGTTTTTTTTTTTTGGAAAATAAATCTTACATACTAAAAAAAAATAACGCATAGAAGATTGTACCGTGTCTTGAACAGTTTGGTGGCTGAAAAATATGTTGTGAGCCATTTCTTATTAATACGACAGGGAATCGTTCAACCCTTTTTGTTTCACCTATCAGTATTGGGTATTTCCTAAAAAGCAAGTATATATCATCGTTTA